TAAAAACTTTGTATTTTAGTGAAAAATTAAAGAGACAAAAGTATGATACGGCAAGAATATATTATATTATATATATTATATAGGTATATACGTCGATGTTTTATTATATATTAAAAAAATTCAAGAGAGCATGTATTACTTTTTCAACACTGTTTTAATATACGTCCGTACGTAAATATACGTCCTGTTCTATATTCTAATTTAAAACTTAAACTTAATTTCAACCAAAATTGAATTTTACAACAGGAAGTCAATTATTTTGAATTATCGTTAAAACTTATAATTCGTAAATTTTTTATAAAAAAATACCGACCACAAAACTTTGTGGAATTACATCTATTTGCCAAGTTTTATGGAAATCGGTTACCGCAAAATGCGCGACACCGGATTCATCCCTTAGTTTGTCACCCTTAGAGGTGGAGTATTTTCTTCAAATTTAAATGGGACCAATACTGAGGAACCCTCTTTCCAACAAAAAAATCATCAAAACCGGTTCAATCTGTTCGCGTGACATACATACAAAAAAAAACAGATGAATCGAGAACCTCCTTCTTTTTTTTAACTCGGTTAAAAATGATTGTTTTTTAAATGGCGCTTTCGCCCTTTCTACAAACAATTACGACAATTATATCAAACAAAATAAAACTTGATAATTTCGAAGCCTAATATAATCGGAAAAAATGCTTTCTTTTCCCACACTAAACTGGGGCCTTACTCTCGTAGCACGAAATCCGTAGTCTGTAGGTCATCAATTGTAGGAAAACGGCCGTGGGGCTTTAGAGAGTATGTCGTGCTTTGTCATTACCTACACAACGGCTCGGGTTCGTCTGGACAACCATTGCTTTGTAACCGACTTTAAAAAAGGAGGAGATTCTCAATTGGACATTTTTTTAATGATGTTACGCTATAAATTGCGTTTCTTCGCGTTTTTTGTTGGAAAGAGGGTACCTGAGTAGTGGTCTCATTTAAATTTGAAGGAAATATTCCACCTCTAAGGGTGGTAAACCAGGAGATGAATGACTTTTGAGGTCGGTGTTTTTAGAACTCTGTACTGATGTTCTTAAAAATTATTGTGTTTAGCTGAATTTATATTCACAACTATATTGCCATTGCAAACTCCACTAGCCTACCTGCGCGACTGAAAACCAATATCCCCATCCGTCGTTGGCGGATCTAGAAGTTTCTACTTCGGGAAATGGCGACCGATTTACTCACTGAATAGGACAGATAGTAATTCTCGCTGTACGGAACTGATATTGAAGTTTGGAGTAATGTATTTCTCTGATTTGTTTGTCGTATAAGGGCCGGTTCGGATGACAAGCGCTTGACGCACGTTCAACGGTGCCTCTACCATGAATTTAATGTGACAGTTGTCGCTAGCGATCGCGTAAATTACCTACTTCACAATTTTATGTGGCAAATTGCATAGCGCTCCTAGCGGTCACAAGAAGGAAAAACATTCTGTATACAAATATTTTACGCGATCTCTAGCGATAACTGTTACTAATATCGTGGTAGTACCCTCCGAGGTAGTACTAGCCCTCACGCGCGTAAAGGCGCTCGCTATCGAGCTAGTCTTGTAACTTGAAAAATAACCCAATGTTTTTTTTTTCACATTTTTGAAGAAAAACATGAAAAAAAAACACAGCACCCTGGTTTTTTTCTAAATTTGGTTTTTTTTCCAGAAAAAGTAAAATGGAATAACTGAAATAAAATAAGACACTAACTTTTATTTTAAGAATATATATATGTGAATATATGTATTTATAAACCTATTTATTAACATCAATTATCATAATACTTATAACAAAAATTTAATCTTCATTTGTGGGGATGAGGGATATGTGCAATGTGGAAAAAAATATTGATATCGCTCTTATATGATATCTTCGATAAATAAATAAGGAGTGTTTTTATCAGTAATCATCAAAGTAGCGGTGCAACAGCAATCGATAGATTTTTAAAAAAGGTAAATAGTTAGCATCCCTGCATTTTCCCCACATAGCGTCAATGACACAAAATGCCCAATCGAGTTGAAATTCCCCGCAATTTGGGGAATTCGCTACAAATTGACAACACTGTGAGTGTTGCCCATTTATTTTAAACACTTTATCTATGAAGAATAATATTAACAACAAAAGTGGAAATGTGGTAAAAAAAATACAATTTATTATTGTCATATTTTTATTTTCATACTTTAGAAAAAAAAAAACATACTCCAGAAAATATACGGTTTCTTTTCATGTTTTTTTTTTCACCTTAGAAAAAAAACGGGTTTTTAACGACACTATATCGAGCGTGTTTACGTGCAACTCATGTTAGTGTTATTGTAGTGTAAGTTTTCAAATATGTAAACTTAACTATCGCGTTTGCGTTAAGATTTTAATTTAAACCTTGTGTGAATGTAGTTCAGATCTAAATAACAATCTTAACGCAAACACGGTAGTTAATTTTGAATAATTACAAATTTACACACAGGCCTCTGAACGCGTAACGGTAATCGTAAGCATTGTTTTACTTGTAAGATTTCATACAAGTTAACTGCGTGTAAAATGGTGTCGTGATGTTGCAGCTCGTCATCGTACTCATGCAAAAACCTCCAGCCATTCAGCAAAAATATAAATTTTATTTTAATATACAATGTGTAATAAATAATTTTAAAATTTACATTAGAACACCGACTTCAAAAGTTGGTTTAGCTTTCATTGTGTTCGTTACCGTGGTCTCCTCGTCGATAACTGAAACGCATAATATGCAAGTCCTCGTCAAAACAAATAATATGAGCCCAAACACAAGGTAGCTACTGCCCCTTTAAAAAAAAAAGAGTAAAAAATACAGTCGAATTTAGAACCTCCTACTTTTTGAAGTGAGTTAAAAATTAGTACATTTGTGCGCGGTCAATCGGAAGACTATTTTGTGTTATTAAGAAATATAAATATATATTAATCTGGGTAAAGAGCTTGGGTTAAAAGACTTGTGTATTTGTGTAGAGTATTTGTGATACCGTGTGAAATCAATCATGGTTGCTGAATGTGTTTGCACCAATAGTATTTTGTTATTTCCGCTAAGTTGTTTGGAGATGTTATGATGATGTGATGCACGTTGGAGTGGAGAAAGAGCGGAGTTGTTATAAGTATAAAAAATAACAATCGACTGACCTCATGAGGGAACGAAAACATTGCCCCTAACCGTAGATCAAATTACGTTATACGGTACAGGCAACAGTTCCTTATATAGAGAAGATTTTGTTTCAAATTTTTAAACCCATGTTCTATGTTTCCTGTGCCATATTTTTTTAAGTTCTCACTCGCGACAATTTATCGCTGGCGTCCTTTATTTATTTATGTATTTCGTACATACTGCTATTTTTACATGATTGTCCCAGTACGATAGTGTAGCATTTCTCTTTACTTGTGTAAAATAATAATAATACCGATTAATAAATAAAGTAGTTTATGTGACTGTTATATAGTGAAAGGCATTAAAACACGAGTGTGGGTTTATGAAACGAGCCGATAGGCGAGTTTAATAAAAACATCACACGAGTTTTATATGCCTAATTATGTACAGGTACACTGCTTTAACTATACACATATTATAAGCTCTCTATGATGTGTTCAGGAACCGCATGTTACGACTGGCGAAATGGCGGCTAATAAACACTTTACTCACGATCTCACACAACCGTAGTTTTTATTTAATTCATAGACTAACTAGAGTCGGCCCCAACTATCATATCGTTCGACATCAAGTAACGTGAAATTTGTCAAAATTGTTTGCTGTTGACATTTCATTTTGAATAAAACTTCATCTCGACTGATATTAGAATTGAGGTCGAATCAAATTATTTTTTTTTTTTCAGAGATGTTCGAAATTTGAATGTAATAATAAAATCGTATTCGATGCTATTATTATGCAATAATAACATTTTCAGAGATAAGAAATTTGTTCTAACAAAACTGTTTATCTTTATGCTGGTCGTAATTTGCGGTTTTTGAGCACATCTTATAGGTCAAAGTCAAAGTCAAATAATCATTTATTCCATAGGCAAAATTTTTACACTTGGAAACGTCATTTTTAAGCTACTGCTCGTTCACTACGCTGACCTCCTTGAGAAGAACGAGCAAGAAATTCTAGGGATTGCTCTTTTCAAATAAACGCTAGGGAATACATTTTGAATCATAATTGTGTGGAATCTAGACTCTTGTTGTCTTTCCATACTTCTTTATCTAAAACAAACTCATCAAATTTGTCATCAAAAAGTCATATCTTTTCAATTAAAATACTTTTAATGTAAGTTTTAAACTTAGGAAATGATAATCTTAATATATTCACCGGAATCTTATTGTAAAAACGTATACAGTTCCCCATAAAAGAATCGTTTACCTTAGTTAAACGAAATCGTGGACCTTGAGTTTGGACTTAGTTCTAAGGTTAATATTATGAATATCTTCTTTCTTAATGAAATTATGTATATTTTTACGGGCATACAAAATATTTGAGCAAGTGTACTGTGATGCCACAGTCATGATACCAGTCTCCTTAAACTTTTCTCTGAGAAAAACCCGCGAACCTAAAGGGTGGGTACACACGGTACACAGAACGAATCGCTCGTTTTTGCAACACATTCGTTTTTGGTTTTCTATATCTGCCGCTTTACCCCACATGAGAATCTCGTAGGACATTATACTATGGAAGTAACTAAAGTAAACTAGTCTAGCAATAGCAACATCGGTAAGCTCACGTATTCTACGGACTGCGTATGCAGCAGAGCTTAATCTGCGGGCTAAGGAAGATTTATGGTATCATAACTATTCTAGAGGATGTAGATAAAATAACTATTCTATTCAATAATAGTACCTAACAAATAATAATTCATTAGGTACGTACTAGACTGTGAGTGTTACCTTTACGAATTCGCTCTCAAAAGAAGTAAAAATGTCAACTTCTTCATCATGTTGATATAGTACTATTAATAAATACGTAATTTCTTGTTTCAGACGAGGGCGGGTGTAGCGGGGAGTCTTCAAGCGAGGACGAGGTGACTGAACACGTCACCCGGTCCACGCCACCGCCAGACATGGCCGCCGCCAGGGCACAGGTACATCCTACCTTCTTACTGGTAGGGTTCTCGAAAAAATCCTCCCAGTAACACCGTACTCTATAGAGAGTACGTGTTACTCTGTTCCGGCGCGCGCTGGGCCATAATCATCGAGTACCTTTTTTTTAACGCACAAGCTCATAGTCCCGCACTAGGGAAACCCTGTATCGCGGGTGCCATGGACACGCACATAAACAAATTACATCCAAACTCACGAGATAAATAAATGTAGGCCAAAGAAATATTTCTCCCGGCCCGGGAATCGCACCCGGGGCCTCTGAGTGGCAGTCCAGCACGGTAACCGTTCGGCCTTGGAGGCAGTTAAATTAAAACCTTTACTGCGGACGACAGCGCAGGGAGAGCATCTAAGAGGATTTTGTGTCCGCCAGCGCACACTGATAACGAACATCTCTTACGACACCACAAGCGTCCGTCAGCTTACCGCAACGTCCGGTCCCTCCAGTTTGCCGTTACTCCGTTACCACTTGCATTCAGGCGAACTTGGCCTTCCGCCACGGTATCCTTTAGCGTGCTCTGCGGTCCGTATTAAGGCCGAGTGCCTCCCGGCACGGTATCCTTTAGCGTGCTCTTTAATACCGTAGAGAGAAATGCGCTGGAATACTCTGCGGTCCGTCTTAGAGCATCGAAATTGTATACCTTATTTGTATTGATTTCAATTGCAATTTTTTTTAGCAATTTTATTTATTTTTAATGTAGCTAAAATTGAAATACATTAGTTAGTTATTACAATAACTGAAGTGGTGCAGTCTTTGCGTTGCGTAAACTGAAATTGCTCATTTCTGATTGTGCATTAAGACAGGTCTATTTTGCATATTTCCACTCGCTGATGTCGTACGGTTCACTCATATGGGGTAACTCCACGGATGCCAATAGAGTCATGCTAATGCAAAAACGTGCCGTACGCATATTGGTTGGGGTAAAACACAGACATTCCTGCAGAAATCTCTTTGTAGCGCAACGCATAATGACGCACTACTCACTCTACTTATATGAAATTATAATGTTCGTTAGAAATAATCTGTCTTCATTTGGTACTGTAAATGTTTTTGGCATCCCACTTCGCCGTACCGGTCATTTGAGAACAGTCCCTCGACGCATGGCACTTGCGGAGAAAAACCCGCGTGTCATCGGACCTACTTACTATGAGCGTTTACCCGCTACTCTCAGACTTGAACCGTCTGACGAAACATTTGGGCGCCGGCTGAAAGACTTTTTCTTGAAAAATCTTTAAGACTAAGACTTTAAATTGTAACGAATTCAGTATTTTCTATTTTTATTCTAATTTTTACCGCATTAACATGCTCTTGTATAATTATCAACTTATGACGATCCTTGATGGAGAATGATATTTGATATGTAATTTAATGACAACAATATTATATAATGAATTGTTAATTTTCTAATTATTGTGTGCTTTTCTTATAATTTTCCTTTTTGTCTGACGATCTCAATATAATTTCTTATACTTTGACATGTAGTGCAATTTGTACTGTAATGTTATATTTGAGAAATAAATGAATCTGAATCTGAATCTGAAAGCCGACACTACACTTTTTACTGACAAGTTGATATCTATCTGTTTGTGTACACAAAAAAACATACCTCTTCAGGATGTAATGTGAAGGTCTGCCGTACTGTTGTGCCGGTCCGTGCTCACAACTAGGGTTGTTGCGAATATCAGCATCCGCATGTGCATCGGCATCCGCATTCAGTGATGCTGATATTCATTGCGGATGTTCAAGGCGTCACATGACGTAAAAGGCACGACGGAATAATTTACAAACCTTCCAGATACAGACTGTAAGCCGAAAAAGCAGAAAATAGTAAGGATGTACATTTAAAATAAAAAACAAGAGCATCCGCTGATGTGTAAAAACCTGCATCAGTAACAATCTAGCTCACAATTTAAGAAATAAAATCAATAAAAATTAACAAAAATGATTTTTCTTTCTTGTTACTTATATTACATGTTTTTGAGTGTTATTTGTTGGTGCAGGTCCCCACGATCAGCGTGACCCCGCACAGCCCGGGCGTCCTCGATGACAGCCTGCAACAGCTTCGCCGGCTCAACGCCGCTGTGCAGCGTATGCGGGTGGCTCCGTTGCCTTTATTGGTAAGATAATAATAATAAAGCGCACAGACTCATAGCCCCGCACTAGGGAGACCCTGTATCACGGGTGTTATGGACACACATATAGACAACCACAAATTACACCCAAACTCACTAGAGAAATAAATGTAGGTCATATAAATATTTCTCTCGGTCCCGGAATCGAACTCGGGACCTCTGCGTGGCAGTCCCAGCATGGCAACCGTTCGGCCACGGAAGGCAGTCAAGCATCAGATAAGTTATATTTATCTTTACGACTACATTACACCAACGAATTAAAACACGCCTCAAACTGTGTGTGTTCAATTAATTACTGGCGGTAAGGTATAATTCGCCGGGATAGGTGTCAAAGCCTCACCTATATTCCTTGTGAAAGAGTTCGTCCAGGGAAGTACTGCCACCTTACCTGTTTCTGCAGCCAAGCAGTTTTGAAGGGTTTGATGCTGAAATTACCGCCACATGTAACTTATGTCTCACGGTGACGGGCGCAGTGGCAGTACCCTTCAGATCTTTGTATTTAAAGCTCTTAGTGGCTCTTTACTGCTATCGAAAAGCGTGTCGCTCACCACCTGCTGCACGATTTGTTCGTCCCTTCACTTGGTATCATAAAGGAAACCTATTTCTACCGCAAACTCATCACTGCTGTGTTCTGGATTGTGGGGTCTCTACCGTACAATCCAGAGCTGCCGAAATCACCAGTACAGGAGACTGTTCTATGGCGACTACGCATTTACTGTACTAATGTGTTCAGTTAAGTTAGTTAGTACATTAAGTGCACCGTCTGTTTCTCTCTTTGTGTACCGATGTTTATATTAATTTTCGTATCTAGTGACGCGTTTTAAGGACTACGTACTGTACGACTCAAAATATTTTTAATGCCACTGATGGGCACCAATAATGAATAAAATGAAGTTAACACTCGTGTCTCTGCTTAAAATAACATTGTAGGTAGTATTTTGATTTATCAATCTGAATTTTATTAAGTGTTTTCTTGATGTACCGTTTTTATAATGGGGCTGACATGTTCAATAACGATCAAAGCCCCTAAATAAATAAAGACTACAAAAAAACATTGTACAGATAATACAATATAATAATGCTTAGGTATATGAAAGTGAACAATTTATCCACAAAATAAATAATAGATATTGTAGTTGACTGTATCAATGGGTTTCTGGTGGGCGCTATCATAGAGTGAGCAAGATCAAGGAAAATGTACTTACAGTTTATTTAACAAACAACGCACAGCTCGATAAAAGAAACAATGGTGACAATAACAAGAAAAGGCGCCAAAAACTAGTAAATTTTAATCATTGACTTACAATTATATTTTAATTTAGAATTTCAATATAAAATTATTTTACATTTAAATTTAGAATTTCAATATAAAACTAAACTGCTATAATAATCTCAGTACAGAGTACTAAAAAACCGACCCCAAAAGTACGTGGAATTACGTCTATTTGCCAAGTTTCATTGAAATATCCCCGTATAGTTCGCCACTATACTTGACACTGGAGATAATAAAAATCGGTTCTCACTACTCAAAGTATATCGAGAGAAAAACGTCTTGAATTGGAGAAATAGCAAAATCAACCATTAAAATAATTGCTCCTAAATTAAAGTTTAGGCGCTATTTATAAAAATGATTCTTCATGCGTGAACAGCCAACCTTAGAGGTGGATGATTTTCTTCTAAATGAAATGGGACCGCTATGGAAGTACCCCTTTCCAACAAAAAAAGAATCATGAAAATCGGTTCACAAATACCGGAAGTATCGCGTAACATACATACAAAAAAAAAAGGAACATACAGTAGTCGAATTGAGAACCTCCTCCTTTTTTAAAGTCGGTTAAAAACAGTGAATAAAATATGTTTTCACTTCTCATGCTCTTAAACTTCGTATTTATGCTGGGTATAGGTCTGCATAAAATAGGATTTTATGCTCTAGTGCACAAAATAAAAATCCATTACATTAAATATGTCTAATTGTTGTAATTTTACATTCAATTTCAATTAAATAATCGCTTACTTGTAATATTGTTGTTTAATTTCCTCGCAATCGAAGTGAAAAGCAGAGTGTATAACTCGTTCATAAAACCCATATTACCCTCGACTTAAGTATCCTCGTCTCGGGTAAAATGACGCGTTTTATGCACTTGTTGTATGTACAATCTACTAATAAGAAATTTGTAGCGACTGCTGCGATTCGCTACAGATATTAAATACTCGAATAAATCGCCCGGAGTTGTATAAACAAAATTGTCGGCGATATTATAATATGCACTAATTTCTGGCTAGAGGTATTCATTGTCATTACTTACCTCAATTGTGACACGTAGTATTGACTGTATTAATATGGATTATATTAATATAAATATTTATATTCCCAGGCGACAGGCACGAGTCGCCTCAGCACGTCCTGCCCATCGCTGTGCAAAGACGGCAATGCTGAGCCAGATTGCTCCTCACCCACACATCTTGACTTTTACCCACAGAGCAGAAAGGGCAGTGGTATGTACATGCTTTCTCTTTTACGTATTCTTATTCTACATTTACGTTCTCCACTGAGGTACAAATCCTATTTTCTGTCTGACCTTGTCAATTTTCCTTAACGGTAACATGAAGAAGATCATTGACTTTTACACCTTTGACATTTTTACACCTTTCCTGGTTCTCTGTGATGACGTTTATATTGCGCATCCTTTTATATCCTCCTCCTGATCTATTATTTGCCTCGACCTGTGTCCTGATTTTGATACAAATCGGTATCGACCCGATCGGGTAGTCTCGAAATCAGATGGGTTTCTGAGCGAGAAGATGAACCTGATTCCTACTATATCTTTCTTTCTAATTTGTGAGTTAAATCAACCATTGTTGTATAATGCTTGGCTCATGTAAAATCATGCTGCATGCCTTGACACTTACACATGCTATCTGGCAGAAAATGCTGTTTGTGTAGCGAAACACTGAACCAAATACATTTACATGTCTTTGCTTTTCTTAATATGCAACAGTTCCAAATATGCCTATCCTTGACCTGCACTCGCTCCATTATTCTCCAACATTTTGACTCTCTCTCGTAGTTATATTAAACGTGTGATCGTTTTGGTGTTCTTGTTATCTGAAAAGAATGTGTGTACGAATTCGAAGATTAACAAATCAGACTTTGTGAGCGATTGAGGAAACAGGACTTGGATGGTATTCTTTTAGGTAAGCCCTTAGTGTTTAAATTACGTAATAAATACTGAATAATTGAGAATGGTCTTCAAAAAGTCAGCTTAAAAGTATCTGAAATTGACGAGATTTCGATCGTTATGTAAACGGAGAGTACGAAATTTTGCCAAGATCCTGGCAAGTGGAAGTCCGTGCTTTACTCTATTAGGAGATGGGAGGCGTGACGATGTGCGTGTATGTAAATGTATGATTTTGTAGGCGAGTCCCGGCAATGGGGGCTGTGGGAGCGTCGCGACGAAGGGCGCCGCAGCTCGTGGGCGGCGCTCGAGCCCGGACCGAGGCAGCACGACGCGCATCGCCCGCGCAGGTAATCCTATTTTAAATTACGCGTGTAGTATGTCGTAAATAGTATAATTGCATGGTGGCTAACTTGACTGTTATAGTCCCAAATAAAACCCTCCGGCTTTTTTGTTCCCTTTACAGCCATGGTCCGTAAGGAGTTTTTTTTTATTTGTAGCACGACATACTTCCTTACATTGGTCAGGTGCAAATTCAAGCAAGGAGGTTACTTAAGTTCAAAATTGAAACATGGGCTTAAAATGTTATCTATAACAGAAATTGCAATTCAGCCACATACGTACTATTAAGAATATCTTACAATTGATTTTAATTATTTTCTGTGTAAAAATTTTATTACGATCCATCAGGGCTGTAGGCATCTTTAGTTTTTACAACATTTTAGTTCAAGTTGTATTATCTATGGAAGAATATCTAGCAGGCATCTGTTGATAAAATAGAAAAACAAATAACCCGCCACTTGCAAAATCCATAATTGTTGTGTTTTGAACCATATTTATTCATACAAGAAATAAACATATTTATTTCCTTGCAAATGTGATGAAAAAAAAGCATTGTGTATATCACAAAACGGTAAAAAAATATAAAACTCAAGTTATAAAAGCCCTCAGTCGTCGAGCTTCAATTGTCCCTAGTTAGTAATTGCTTATTTACCGTCTTTAATGCACAATGTACTATTTTTTGGAATGTATTTGGGTTCGATACCCATTAGTCCACTGAGCAATTTTCTAATCACGTGCAGTTTAGTTTTCTTCTTTTAATTTTTTTTTACGTCGAGGGATAATATCGTCATAAAACCTGCAAGCCGAAGAAGGTTCACTTAACTCTTCGAAAACTACACAGTAGGGCTAGCACAACGAGACGTGACTAGCGCCAGATAATGCTATTCTCGCAAAGGGATCTCGCGCTTTATGTCGCTCTCGCGCTAGTGACGTCTTGTCATGCTAGCCCTATTGGTTTTTGCTGCATTGCTCTAGTGTACTGGACTATCTTAATCCTTTGGAGATCTGTGTATAACGGGACGTTAGTACTGCCTTTGATTATGAATTCCCTTTGCGTTATAGCAGCGCTCTGAACGGGCACAGCGCATCGCTGTCTTCTATGGAGTCGGAGGGAGAAGTGCCGCGCCCTGCACGACATTCCACGCACTCGCTCAACGACAACGATCTCGCCGTACGTATACGTTTCTATCTCAACTATTCCATTTTCCGACAAGTAAGATTATGGACAAATGTGAACCTGAACGTACTAGCCAGCCTATGTCATTAACCTCCACTCTATCAGCAATCATTTTGATTGCTGATAGAGTGGAGGGGCCTCTAATGAGGCACCTCATAAATTGTACTAGATCTAAGTTAGAAATAATTTACTAACATAGTTTATAAGTCTGTTACTAATACAAAGTGGGCCTTGTTGTCTTTAATAAACGATATTATTATTATTATTATTATTATTATTAACCTCCTTCTTCAAATTAACAAAAAAAGAAATAATTGCGCATTGTTGTACATTAGCTTTTTTATATATAAAAAATAAGTGCGCATTTGACCTCCATCTTACCTGATGGAAAGTGACGGTGAGGTCGACGATAGAGCACGCACACCTAAATAATGTCTATTTAGGGACTAGTCTGTAGGCAGAAAGCTCTGCTGCTTAGTAGCAGTGAAGCTCCTTTTGAAAAAGTTTGTCCAGGAATGTACTGCCTCTACTGTACGTGTACTAATTTGAGCATTACAGCGTTTCGGTTTTGAAGCGTGCTGATGAGGGACTTTTTAACTTATGTCTCAAGGTGAAGGGCGCAATGGCAGTGGCCCTCAGATCTTTGCGATTTAAAGTTCTGACCGGCACTACCCGGCAGTTGTTCGTCCCGTCACTTGATATCATTAATAAAAGGGAATTCCACTTGATAGCCATTCGCTGTATAAATATGGAAGCGTTACGCTTCGTGCGAATCTTCGGAATATCTATAACATTGGGGTGGAACCCCAGCCTATTTATTATTATGTATTGTACTATATATTGTTATGTATTTGACTTTACCGGGACAACAGAAGGACTTTGAGAAAATAACGGCAGCTCTTCGCGCGGGAGCGGTGCTGGGAGCGGCGGCTGCCGAAGCGAGCTCACGCTTGGCTCCACGCCTGCCACTGCAGAAGTCCGTCTCCACGCCGAGCATCGTCGCCGCCGTGCAGCCGCCGCAGCCACAGCCCGTCAACATGTGAGTTGTACTTGGGTTACGGTCGACCTTGACAAGATGTCACACTGACAATAGTATCGATATTTTCGAAAACATTTTCTAATAACTAACTGCATCGACGAACATTTTGAACCACCTTCGTAACTTATCAGTCTTGATGTGAGATATCGATATTGTCGAAAATGTCGGTAGCTATTTATAGTCGTGGTCACGATAGAATCGATAGTTTTACTATTGACGCGCAACACTAATTTTGTACTGTTACGCGATTAGCAGCCTTGTGCTTTTTAAAGCCAGGAGCGTTTTATTTGGAAATTTAAAACAAAAGTTGATGTGATACATGTGAATGAGTGCTGAATACAGACCATCCTAACAGGTGTTGATAGGTCTAAATTACGTAGTTCAATATTGTGCCAATAGATGGCGCATCGAAATATTTCATAAGCGTCGGGTTTTTGTTTTTGCTTTTTCGGTTAGCTTTTCAGTCACTATTTATATATGTCTTTAAAATGGAGAAAATTATAGTTGGGAAGGGGGAGATAGAGAGAAAAAACAATTTGTTTAAATGTAGGAGAAATATTATGTACTTATATTAAAAATATTGTCAGACTATATAGCCCCACTTTTGAGCACAGGCCGCCTCTCACAGTGGGAGGGTTGTAAAAGGGCTGTAATGCCCACACAGGGCTAACGCGGATTATAGAAACTTCACACACATCATTAAATTGTTTTGCAGATGTGTGTGCAAGTTTCCTCACGATGTGTTCCTTCATCGAAAAGCTCATGGCAAATTTCAAATTAACTTTCACACATAAATTCAGAACGACTCAGAGGTCAGGCAGACCTGAATTCGAACACACGACTCTCTACTTGAGAGGCGGTAGGTCAAACCATTAGGCTACCACTGCTTTTTATACAGGTACTTATGCAATAGCTAAATATTAATAATCAGTTTTATGGTGTAATAACTGCCATCTGTTAAGAAAAAAAAAAGAAAAGAATTGCTTTTTTACTTACGAAAACAAGTCAATGTATATAATTGAGTGTGACCAAAACAAACGCTAGCCGTTTTTTTTTCGGGTTATCTATGCTAGCACAACTAAAACCGTTTCCCAGTCACACTGCAATGACATTGTTGTCGCGATCATGTAAAAATTCACCAATACACGCAAAACCTGTACATGTATCGTTCACGTCAACTCTTGGTAACTTGGAACTACAACGTAACAAACAAATTATCACTACCATTATAATAATGTACAGCATTTTGAGCACAATTGACAGTTGATTGAAAATTTAAAAATTTAAAATTCAAAGTAATGAACGAAGTTAGAGCTTATTTTTTTAATGCATGTGTTTTTCACTAAACATTAAAAGAACATTATTATTTTGAATATTCTATTATTAAATGGGTATACTTAATCTGAAGTCAGTTGAGATAAAAAAAATAATGTTCTTCCTCAATTAATTATTTTCAACATGTGCATGTCGTTCGATGTTTTTTGTCGGCACTGTGTGCTTCGCTCAAGTTTCAGATTAAAGCACTGGCCAGTTACAGTGAAACAGGCCATTTTGTTTTTAATTTTTTGTTTTTTTTTATGCACTTTAATGAGTGGTAATAGCGCTATTTAAAAAAATATTATTTTTTAAATTATATAGGATGACGTATGTGTGGGCGTGTTTTTAAACATATTGTTTTCTTAGGACCAATTACCAGTAACAAATCATCGAGTATATAACCAGAAGTAGAGACGAAATAAATGGCCTTCCATTCCTAGCAACTCATCAGCACAATGGATCTTATATCACTTTTAAATATCAACCCTCGTTTGCGCTGAAATTACAAATTAGAAAGCTGTAATAGTACAGCGCCAACAACTGACCTGTGTGTACGTACGCCTCCGTATATTCCAAAAATATTCTGTATTTATTGTAATAAAGATAATATCTCTAACAATGGGCTGTTATATTTGGTGGTGTGGGAAAAACAGCAAAACATCTAATTACAAAACAAACGGAATCACATTTCATCGATAATTATGTAATTTTTCAATTTTCGTCCACTATAACAAAGCTCGAGTTAAACTGGTCGATTTGAAGTAGGAGTAGAAACAATTGACGACACCCGTCAATTGTTTCGAATTCGGACTGACCAATCGAAACGCAGTTGTCACCGTTACGATTAGGCAGAATAGTTTTCAAAGAAATTAAATGACATTTCGTCTCTATTTCTGGTTATTATATTCTATGTAACAAATACACTCACATCGTAATTGTATAAGGTGAATTAAATAGAACACTATAATAGCCAGTACAGTACAACAACTTTCTTAATGTTACTCGGTAATCTGTGGATTTCGAATGTACCCTAACACAAATTACCATGTCCAGTAGTTGTTAGATTTTTATCTGTAACAATTTAAATTAAGAATAAGAATTAAGATCTCTTTATTGTTGTTTAGTTTTTATTTCCGAACTATATAGAGCTGTAAAACTATTTCCCTGTTTGTAATAACATTTTTATTTTAACGAAACGTGGATCTCACGAAACAACCTCCTCCTTTTTTCCTGACCTCATTAAGCAAAGTTATTTCACTTTTCAAGTCTGGTAGTAACTGACTGCAAAGGGTCACCCGTGACCATGGGACCTGTAAAGTGCCCGAAACGTTGGTTTGCAAAACCGAAACCGAAAATAAATCTACGCGATTTAGATCCGATAAATATTTTCATTTCGTATGTGTAACAATCGCGAAAATCTAACAACTTGATAAATAATGAACATTTACTTCTTTACAGTATACCAAGCAAGGTTAAAACAAGTTAATACTAAATAAAATTTTATTTTCTATTAATAAAAATGAATATGAAATTCTTTTTCCTATTATTAACCTTTAATTTTCAGTATATGTGTATTATCTGGTTTTCATAAATATACAGTGTGTTGATTTGCATTCTCGCCATATTTAAGAAATTTATAATAGACACAACTTTGGAATCAGAAACTTCGACACTCGTATCCTCCGCGAAAACTAAACGTTTCACATCATGTCGTAAGAATAGACACGCACTTGTACTTGATGGATTACCATGCAGGTGCTGGTGAACCTGGTAGCGATTCTTTTTTGCACTACTAACTCTTGTTTACATACCACACCACGTGGCATTTCGTGACAGACTAGAATAGAATGTATGTGGGATGTCAGCATGACATAGACGCAGCACAGGAAGCAAGGTCGACGGATCTACGAATCGCGCGCTCGATACGACATTGCCCCGCCGTCGCTATCCACACGCCACCACCAAATAGATCTAAAATGCGTTTCTTTTTGCGGTCATTGTTCAAAACGTTTGCAAGTGCCGTGCAAATCAATTACCTGTGGATCAAATTTGTTTACAGCAATTAAATAAAAAATAGGAATTAATTAATTTTTTTTTTTTTTTGTTTTTTTTTTTTTTTTTTTTGTTATTTGGGTTCAGTTTCGGTTTCCAAGTCGATGGACTGTAAGTGCAAAGGGCAGCTGATAGAAACCCGACGACAATCGAAATTCGAAGATTATCGAGATATATTAACAAAAAATGTTATAGTTGTACTGTACATGAAACATTTCTTCAATGTGCTTACTTTGTGAATCTAAGACTCCTATAGAAAAGACTCAAGACTCATTTCAAGACCACACAAGTATACCAGAAACAATACAAGCCAAATTGATCCCTATGTGCTTCGGAGAAAATTTCTTATATTTAAGCTTAACTACATTCAATATTCCACACACAATTACTCTCTGCGTTTATTGCCGAGGTTAGTATGTTTTGTGTAGCTATGAAAGGCTGGGCTACACTGGCGGCGTGCAATTTTTAATTTTATTTCAATTAATACGTAATCGCAGAATACCTAATAATTCAAATTCCAAAGTACTCGTAAATGAAGTCGGCAATTTGTAGCGGAAACGCGGAGTATTTACAAAGGGTTCTTTGGGTCGTGTTTGTCCTAGTCAATAGGCCATACCAAATAATACTGTAGCTGTAGGTATCTCGTCATAACGCGTGTACGGAGTGCGCCAAATCTCCAGAAGCGGGAAATGAAGACATGTCTAAACACGTCTAAACAGACATGTCCTAAATTTGTTTTTTTACTTCCCAACAAATATATCTCTATTCCATTTTCCGAATAATGATTAAGATAGCTCCTGTATTTAAAATAGTCTATGAAAACACGTTACGTATAAAAAAATACGCCCAAAACCATTACCAAAAACATGATTTACTAAATGAAAGCGCTAGTACTACTCCTGCAATGTCCGTCCCGCTCGGTGTTAGCTTGTCGGGCCCGTGTGCAAGCGAGACAGAGAGCGACGAAGACACGTCAGCTACCCACACCACCTCACCGAATCGCCGCCACAACACGCATCAGGAGCATCTTGGACTACATAGACTTGCTTTTCTTGAACAGTAAGTGTTTTGTCTCTTTCCCCTTCCCAGGATTGTTTAGGTGTGTGCAAGACAACTTGCTGTTTGATTATACAGGGGTCACTATAAATATCACCGCGCGTTTGGACTTCATAGTACCTTCAACAGTGAGTGTTTTGTCTCTTTCACCGTACCAGAATTGATTTAAGTGTGAGTCAGACAATTTGTTGTTTGATGATCACCACAACTTTCATCAGGAGCTTCAAGTTCAAGGACTTGCTTGTCTTTATCAGTAAGTGTTTTCTCTTTACCAGAGTCGTTTAGATATGAGCGACAACTAGCTGATCGACTAACATATCTTGACTTGCTTTACTTTAACAGTGAGTATTTTAAATTTTTATTCAATGTCAGAATATTTCACCACCATGAATATTCAATTATTTTTTGTGAAATTATTTGTTTGTCATAATTATTAATTTTTTATTTTTTTTATTTTTTTTATTAAAAATGGACGTACTCTTGACCACTACCTAGCCCTAGAGCAAAGATGAGGTCTACGTTGGTACGAGCTCGCCCAGAAGATTTTTACAAAGATTAGATTAGATAAAGATTAGAAGAGATTAATACAAAGATCGACCACTTAGAAAAAATCCTTTGAGCCGGCCAAACTCGAACCAACGTCACCTAGCAAACCGTGCCACGCTATGCCAACTACGGAACGAACCAGCGCACCTCATGGATTTTTCTATGTGCTTGTTGTCGGATTTTTGTATTTCGTTTTCAACGACTTGAGTGAGTAATTTGTCAGTAGTTCTCATACTTGGCTTGTATGGTAGAAAGGTTACAAGCTATGCAGTGTCCACAAGCGTCTCGTCGAAAACTTAAATTAACTCCACCATTTGAACGTCAAAGAGGTAACAAAAAAAGTTTTTTTCTTAAAAATAAGCAAATTTACTTCAATGTGTATATTTATGGATCTCTTGGCAAGCTGTGATATCTTCAAGTATTACAACTCTTAAGCATAAATCTGTAAGGTACATTTTACTTTCCTAATACAGTTTCATAACGACTTACAATTGTTCACTTTTTCAATCAATTAAGTACATACGAATTTGGCACGTTTTTAAAAGCACAAGCTTTTTGCTTTATATGTTGTTTATACGAGTGCAAAGTGAGTTTTTTTGCTTTGGAGTGTTTGCATGTTATTCTTTGATTCGGGCTCAGAAAGGCCTTAGTGAATTGACAATTGAGGAGTTGAATTTCAAAAACAGCACACTTTTTTGAATATTTGATTCAAGTACTGAATTTTTATTATTTTTATACATAATAATGTTTTCACTTTTCATGCTCTAAAAGTACCAAAATATAGCATTACGTGGTGGGAGTAAAGTGCATCCTTTAATCTCTATGAAGTAAAAAGTACCTAGTAATAATTATTTAATATTGTAGTAGTAATTATTTAATTTACTTCGAGTGAACAAACTCAAACAGCCAGTAGTACTACTGGCGTACGCTCGGCTTTAATTCCGTGCCTATTCCGCATGGACGGTGGCGCCATATTATTTCCCCGCATTATTGCGTTTGTTGTATCTGTGTCTAGTTGGAAAAAAGAATACCGCGAAAACTTCAGAATTTCGGTTCGTAATTTTGTTGTAGAGCGAAAACTATTGAAATTTTTTCCTCGCAATCGAAGTGAAAAGTAAAGTTTTCACCTCGAGACTAAAAGCCAATATAGAGGTCGCTAAAGCTCCGGTGTCTATTAGCTCATTTTAGTCCCTCGATAAAAAATATACTATTACTCGTAATACAGTGGCGAAGGGTAGACAATAATAAATTTAGAAAAATCCCCTGTACTAGTAATTGTAATATTACAAGCACAAGTAAAATCAGAGCCAAATTTGAAAATTTGTTTGCCGAATTGCTTCAGACCAGCAATCGAACACCGGATCTTCTCATCTTGCGCCTAAAGTGCTAACAGCTAGCACACTGAGATGTGGCTACTATTAGCAAAGTTGAAATCTTATTGTATAAATTGTAAACGTTTTTAGAATAAGATTCCGGAGCATATATTAAGTTTACCATTTCCTAAGATTAAAACTTACATTAAAAGAATTTTAATTGAAAAGTCATATTACAAAACGTTAGACTACGTGTTAGATAAAGATCTATGGAAAGACAGCGTGAATCTAGATTCCACACAAATACGATTCAAAATGTATTCTATAGCATTTAAGTTTATTTGAAAAGAGCAATCCCCAGAGTATCTTGCTCGTTTTTCTCAGGGAGGTTACGCAGAACGAGCAGTAGCTTAAAAAAAAACTGTAAAATTTTACCTATGGAATAAATGATTAATTGACTTTGGCTTACCAAGCCAAAACAGTTTTGTTGTAGTGGAGATTGTAGCTAACCCTATCCATCATTTCGTTGCCTTTTTGTGGAAACCTTTTGTTTATGGCAAAAATATGATTACGATGCCTTTAAACACCATTGGTTGACAAGGTAAATAAACTGCTAGAGGCCGCAAATGACAGTCGTTGCTTGCACGTAAAAAACACTCTTAAGGTGGTAAGTCCTGTACAGTCTACTAAGTACGCTACAATTCAATACATACTACAATGTTGGAAGTTAATTTTTTTAGGCAAACTGATGGGAGTGTGGACCCTTCTCCACTGCTATATTAATTATGATTAACAATATATAATTCAGTAATAACGTAGAACTATACAATGTAGTAAAAAAATAGTACCACTGGTCCATTGAATTATAATTGTTTTGACTAGTAAACTAGAGAGTTTCGTTTCAAACTAAAATAGTGGAAACGCGTTTGAAATATAACTCCTCAATATGTATTTCTAATATGAAATGAAACTATTTTTCTGGATTTGAATAGCGTATATTTGTTTTTTCAAACAAACCAACGTTTCGGGCCCTTAACAGGTACCATGGTCACGGTGGACTTTGTTGGCAGTCAATCATGACCATGGGTCCATAAAAATAGTTTCTTTTCCTATCTGTAACAATTGTGAAAACCTAAGAATTTGATGTGTATTTTTTAATTTAACAAATTTTTACCACATTCCAGTTTCACACGTAATAAATTTTTGCTAATGTTCTAGACATTTTTTTTTATCTGTTCATTACTTTAGACAAAACGCTATTGCCATTGTTCTTATAGAAATATAATAATAAACTTGTGTTCAAAACAGAGCAGCCTATGATCATCACGCAGAGAAACGACGAAAACGTGGCAGCTTATTCTTCCGTAAGAAGAAGGTATGTTCTCTTATCCATTATGAGTTGAAATATATTCATGGATCAGTTGATTACTAAAGCGTTAATAATACTTGGCACAGGACAAATCACGCAAAGCTGCGCACGCGTGGCAAGCGGCAGGCGGCAGCGGCGACTGCGATTGGTGTGGTCAGGCGCTTACAGACAAGCCCTCTCTCTATTGTGACAGTTAGTTTTTTTAATGTTATGCTAACAGTCAATCGAAGTCAGTACTTCTTTGTTTATTATGTGGGCAACGAAATAAATAAGAATCAAAGTACATTGATAAGCATTAAATATGATATTACAAAGTTCTACACCAGATTATATTCTATTTATAATAATAATCATCAAATTAAGAAAATACAATTCAATACAATTCATACTTTTAAAACATCTAAAAACTCAAAAAAAAAAAAAAATTAAAAATGTCACTTAAAATAAGTTTCATTTATGTCAAGCTCACCCTACGTGGCAATTTCGAGCCAATGGTTGTACATCGACGTGGTAGTCAGGCAAGGAAATAACTCTCGAATTAAGCCATCTCCATGTTATGTATGTCAAATATGTTGACACATCCATTGTAAACATTTTTTTACAATGATGTGTCAACATAAGGTTTACATTTAACTTTGGTTACATGAAATAAGTACAGTATAGTTGGAAATTATTGTAATAATTACGAACAGCAACCAAACTCGGTCTTGTCATAGGACGGAAAACTAAAGAAGGGATCTAGGTTGTTTTTTAAATTGCCCACTTAATACTAAGTAGTCAACCCTGAGAACACTGTATGAAACTTCTCCGATTTTGCTTTGCTTTATAACGTATCTGTGTATCGGTGAAAAAAAATTAAAAGATTGAATCCTATTTATTTCAGATTGTACAATGACGGTACATCAAAATATGTGCAAAGACTACATTGTTGAATGCAATAAGCCTAAGACGTCAAAGGTTAGTAATATAGGACAATACATTATAGTATGAATCACAATTAGATATCAAAAATATAAACAAGGAGATAACTGAGCTTAAAATCTTTTTTCTGGCTGTAATCTTATAGAACGTACTATAATTAACATTTTACCATATTGGTATATTTTTACTTAATTTAGTTTTTTTTATAACATCAAGTGACGGGACGAACAAGTCATGCGCCTCATGGTAAGCTACACGCCTGTCCATAACAGTTGCAGTGTCGCAAAGATCAATCGGTCCCGCGGGTGCAGAACCGGGGTTATGTGGGACTGTGCTGAACCCTAAAGAGGTCCAGACTGACCGCACTGAACCCCCGGAGTGTTCTTCCTTTCCGCTGTAGATGGGAGTACAGGTACGGTATTGCACCCGTCCGCGCCCCCACCTGCAGCTGGCCGCGCCCTGCGTAGCCCCTCCCCGAGAAGGGAGACACATCGGTCCCCCGACTCCGAATGTGAGGCTCGCCGAATATCAGACGAGCCTTCCATCTCGGGCCCCTCTATGCTGGGCAACGGACTCCCTCGAGTCCGCTACCTAGCGGTCATGAGTGGGCCAGGACATCATCCACTCAACTGAGAAGTTTAGTGGCTGCCTCCCCACCTCCTGCGGCGGATCTGTTGGCAGGCTCCGCCGCAACATCTAACGCGCATCCGCAGGGACTTTCTGAAGAGAGTCCCTGCGGCACAGGCATAGGGAGGCAAAGTCTCCTCCAACAATGATTCAATATCGTCTGTAAGCACAGGATCGTCAGCAATTCTCATCGCCCGTCTTTGAACCGCGTCGAAGGGTCCAAGCTGGCATGAGGAGCTCCTGCCTAAAGATGGTAGCAGTATTCCATGTGGGGACAGACTGTGACTTATAAAGTAGCAGTCTCTGCTCCGAAGTGAAATACCGCTTAGCCCCGTTGAGCACACCGAGCTTTTTGACGCCAGCTTGACTTTGCCATCTAAGTGACTACGGAACTGAACGTTATGAGAGATGTCGACACCAAGGATCCCGATGCTCTCCGAGATATTTAATAGCTTGTTCTGGAACTGGAGGTCTGCAGCAAATGGAGTCTTTTTAGCAGTGAACGCGCAAACTTGTGTCTTGATGGGGTTAAATTGGACTAAGTTTAGTCGTCTCCAATCAAAAATTATCTCCAGAGTTTTTTCTGTTTGTGACACAAGTTTTTTACGGCTCTCCTCTACGAAAGATCAAGGAGATTTAGCATGGCCAGTGTAGTATCAGTGGTATCCGCGTAACAGTGAATGCTATCGGTAGGCAGCATATTATTGAAGTGCAGCAAAAATAGTGTTGGAGACAGCACAGAAAACGATGCTGACATTACTGCTTGGCGGCAGAAATAGGTAAGGTTACTAATCACGCAGTATTATCCTGGACGAACTCTTTTACAAGGAGCTCTTCTGCTACTAAAACAGTTACGTTTAATACATGAATTATAATATAATGCTACATTTAAGGTCGTAAATAATTTTGTGACACTGGTAACACAGTGGGCATCAAAATCATTTTTTATGCCGCCATTTTGTCGTGTCTCTTCTTCGTTTCTCTTACTCGAATGTTTTCTTGTGTGTTAGTGCGTTTATTTAATTATTTTGTATTGTTGTTAATGTTTCTGTTTATTATTAATATTTTGTAATATATTATAATTGTAGAAAATGAGAACCTCCTCCTACTCAAATTATTATATTTTATTATAGTTAAAAATAGAAGGTATGGTACACCTGCGTTCACAATTTGACAATGACATTTCTTGGTTTACATTTCGGACATCTAATTATGATTCGTACTGATTGTTTTATTGCTTTCAATACACAAGATGTAAATTATCACTGTATGATACGACTTAAATATTAATCTGTGGGTACAAACATGTGTGATACATTGTTTTTTTTTATAGTCATCGGTCGGAAAATCATTGAGTGCAGCTAGCGGCAAAAGCAGTAAACGCAGCTCAGTGTCTGGCCAATCGCAGAACTCGAACAGGTAAGTCCATTTCCATTTAAAAAGGGACTCTAACAGAAGAAGTTGGAACTTAAACTTTTACAAACAATAAAACTCAGTGACTGGCACGTTTTAAAAATTAATCTATAAATGAATTTTAAAAAAATTGTACAGTGTTTTTCTGCACTAATTTGTGGCCATATGGTATATTTTCTCAAACAGAAGTTTATATTACATATCTTATTCGATTAATGATAGCATGGCAAAATAAGTCTCTTTATTTTTGCCTTTATTATTGACAATGAGTACATAATTGAAGAAAATTTTTTCGTTTTCCACATTTTAGTAATTCAGAAAATTAATCATATTGTTTTTATAAAAAAATATATTTCAAATTGAACCCTGTGTTACTAAAGATGAGGCTACGTTTTAGTGTAGAAATAAATAAATTAAAAACAAAAGTGTTTTGAATTTGTATGGCATATGTTTTGCAGCTTTTTTTTATTGGCAAGCCAAGGGTTGACTGGGGAGCGCCTTACGCTGATTGCATTTTGGATTTGTTTTGCGAGCCATCATAATGTGCAACAATTTTGTATGTTTGCAAGATTATTGGGTTAAAAAAGTGGTTTTAATTTTTTTTATTATCTCTATTGACAACTTATTATTACAATTCGCCTAAGAAATGCCTTAGGAAGCGATACATTTCATGTGTGCGGCCATCTTGTCCGTCATATTGAAATCTTTATCGAGTTCAGCGTATCCATAATGCATTTTGATGCGAAACAAAATGTCAGTTGGGGTTTTTTGAACTACTGTTGGTATTATTTAAATACCATATCAGTAGAGGTAATATAAAATTATTTCCAATCGTTTATTGTAAACAGAACTTTGTAAAATTGCAACAATTTTTTTTACGAATTATAGGTGGAACAAATGAGTGCCGAAAGGTATTTTATGATTTAATTATAAGAAGATACACAAGTATGTGACACGGCGGTTTTACATAGTTATTATTCTACTCTTATTAAAAAACTACACGTTTTTTTTATAATTTCCTCTTTTTGCTATGTTCCATTGCTATCTTTTCTTAATATCTTCTAAAATTTTTTTAGGTTTCCTGTTTTGGTTTTATTCTAAGCTATATTAGGTTTTTTGTGTTTACAATTTTTTACAAACAATTGGTTCCGGTGAGCAAAAATGTCTTCTTATAAAGCAAATCATATTTTGGGGCGGTTGAGGTGCCATTTTCAGAATTAAAACTCCATAATTTTCTTTTCTTTAAAAGATCTTAACTGTAATACACCATGTATTACAGTTTTGTTATAATTATTATATTACAAAATTTTCTTATAAATACGCTGAGGCCTCATTTTAATAAAAGCTGTTTAATGTAAAAAAGGTTTTTGAGAACAATTATTTTGGTGAATAACAATGAAAATCCAAGATGTTACTAGCAACAAATGGAATCTTAACAAAATGTAAAAAAAAAAACGAAATGCCACCTCAACACATCCAATCACGTCATAGCGTCCAAAATCTAACACGCACACTAGTACAATCGTGTGTTCGTATTTCGCGCACACAGCAAGAAGTCCGGATGCTACTCGCCGTGGCGGCGCGTCGCAACCAAACTCGGCGTCCAGTAAGTCGCGTGAATGCTGCGAAATCGCGCTGCCTCTTTCTTTCTTACATCATACATACATACATCCATCGTCTCGTTCTGTCTCTTTCTCTCCTCGTGATCACCATTGCGCGTATGATGTCCTGGTACTCGAGACGTATGGTTAGGTTAATTTTTTAAAATTTTTTTTTCAGTCAGTTGTGATTACGTTTGGATCGTTTGAAATATTTATTGAATTGGTCGATTTTTGAAGTTGTTGCATGAGTTATTTTTTACGTTTGTTATTGTTTTCGAATGTTCCTTATTAATTTACTTACGTTTTATTTCGACGTTCAAAGTAAATAGAGCTAGGGTTTTAAAGTGTGAAATTTTGCATTTATTAAATACACGAGACAGAAAATATTGCCGTCTCGTCCACAAAAATACGATCGCTCTTATACACTTTTAAGTACAGGTCAGTTAGAATCAGTACGTCTGTTTCATGGGATGTCTCTATCCATGATACTGAACAACAAATTTTACAGAATTGGTTGTTTGTTTAAATTCAAAATTAAACTATTTCATATCTTTGCAAATTACACTTAAAATCGTCATATTGATTAAACACTATTATTACTCATTCGTACGGTAACTCCTCTAAGAAAAACGAGTGAAAAAACCAGGGGTGCTCTTTGCAAATAGAAATTTGGTCATATATATCATTTACATCTAATTGTTTAGAACACAATAGGTAGAAATAGCCTCTGCTAAATGGATAACTCCCATGGGTTACTGTCATATAATTAAGCAGAAGCTGTCTAAAAATCGTTTGTGTAAAGTTTTTGTTTCGCAAGTACTTTAAACATTGTAAAAAGCAAATTTTAAATATCAACTGAAATCGTAATATCAGATAATCATAATACCTCCCCTTGAAATCCCGGAATGATTAAAAATAATATAAATATAATAAAAGGTAAATAACAATATTATTATAAATCTATTTTATCCGATGGATTTCTCTAAGCAACTTTGTTCATCATGTAGTTCCCTAAAAATCCGCTAAATAGCATTGACTCATTTAAGTCGTAAGATTTTCTCTCGAATGGTGACTACCTCGGGCGAATTTTCATTATGGTAGAGTCAACCAGTATACACAAAATGACAGTCCTCTCCTGCAGCTCGCCCTTCTGGTGGAAGTGTCCAATATCGTCTTGAGTCGAGGTCCGTGCCCACCTGGGTGCCCTCAGCCTTCTGCTCGTCCTTTTGTCCGGTGGTGTAGCCAAAACCATCAGATAATACCGATGCGTTTCTATCAAAAAAAGATTATGGTAGAAAAACATCGATACTATCGATCCGTTTCTAGGAGTTGAGTCCGACTGCTTGGAAATATCTGATAGTTTAAACTTTTTGTGTTGATGAGTACCGTCGGTTCCAATTAACATGGCTGGCACGTGGTAAAATCTATTACATAAAACTTGGAAGAACAGACTGGAAGTTTTTTACTCAAATTAGTGGCGACATCCAAATGTCGAAGAATCTCCTCTATTTATTAATATTTGTACAGTAAGCGCCCAGTTACACGAGAAGAAAGTTTTCACGCGGCGACCGACTAGTCACCACGCCTTCGTGTACATTAATGGCGAATCTGATTCCATTTATTATGCAACAACATTTAAATTCCTCTCAATAAAAGTACACCGGGCCGCCGCCAGGCCGCCGCGCAGATCAAATTCAAGCCAGACTAGCCCGCGTGCCCCGAACGCTCATTTAAATTAAAACGTAAAAGCTAAACATGTAGAGCGTATTTTGCCATGACAGTTAGACGCACGCGATCGCTGCGCGGCGGCAACGCGGATTCCGCTCTTAGACCGCGCGGCGGCCGCGCGAGGTGTGCGCGGTGAAATTCGTGTCGAATAAAAGCGCCCTAATAAAACTTTTCTTTTAAATACTTTCGGTATTTCAGAGGGAGGTCGTACCCACTCTGTATATATTACCGTACAAGTTTAGGTAAATTACATTCTGCCTACTATCTCTGCTTATTGTAAACGCTTATACCTTGCCACTAAAAGAATATGTGACAATGACTGTCAAGAATAGGCACAGTTCAAAGAGTTGCCTCGTGAAATTCTAAATGAAATTTTGAACTATACTTGGTTTTATTTTCTTTATAAAAGACCACTTGATAATCGTATACTTGCCTTAAATAAGCGAGGACGTGGTCGCTTCAAGGTAATCGTACTGGATGGGGTATTCATTTTAGTATATTGTGACAAGATCATTTACTAAGTTAGGTGATTTCATCAACACACAAATACTGTTGTCAAATCATTCACACGCCTTACTTGTGTATCTTTCTATCTTGAAATAGATTTCTACTATCGTAGTTACCAAGTAATAACGTTTTATGTTTCGCTCGATATCTATTTACGGTTGTCTATTCAAGGTAACATTGTAGATTGAGATACAAGTATAAAGTTTACATAGTATAGGGGTTCAAATCGGAATAATAATAACAATATTTAATTTTTTAGGCCTTGGGAGAGGTGAGAGTCTAAAATAGATATCCAAAATAATAATAATAAAGATAAAGTATATTTGTCCTTATTGTTCTTTCCACAACAGGCTTCATGGGTTTTACAGAAACCCTTCTACATTACATAATGTATTAACATTATACATGATGAATTGTCAGAAAGTTCATGCAATAGGAAGAGGACGAAGTGGGCTCTTATTGCACACCTTCCACATAAATACACACCATACTGCATTTATTTGATTTCGGTCTGGAAGGATGGTTAAACCAGCCAACGGCTGAGATAAAAATCGGAAAATAATAATAATAATGTGCCAGGTGACCACACTAAACACTTGTTCTCTTTAAATCTGTGTTAACAGGTCTGGTACTATATATAGCAACTAGGGCACTATCTGGAACACTCAGACCAGAACCAATTTCGAACAGTTTATTTTCCAAATTGGTCCTATCGGGAATTAAGCCCGGACCCTCCTTCACCAGACACCTCCGAACCTTGGGTAATTAGATATAATATCTAATTATTATAAAATACGTGTTTCCTGTTACTGTATAAACGATAAAACGTTTACCCTGGTTCTGAAAAACCAGAGTATTTAGAAACACGAATTAGGGCTCGTTCCCATTATGTCGTGACGACAGATAGTCGTGCAGTTAAAAGTGTCGTGGCATGTATATTTAAATAGAGTTGTTCACACTTAGGACAACACGATTAACTGTCGTTCACGACTTTTTTGATGTTACGACAACTGACACTGTCCAGCGATAAAATAAACGTCCACGACACAGTCACGACAGATAGTCATGATATGGGAACAGGCTAGACGCGACAGTCGTCCAACGATAAATAAAACGTTACGACATTACGGGAACGCGCCCTTAGAGAAAATTAAATATTCTTTGTTTTTCTCTTAATAATTAACAATTTATTACGGAGTATACACGGGTTGTAATAAAATAGTGTAGTCTAATTTTGGGACACAACCTTATCAGTGAAATGGAAGAATCTTTGCCAGAAATAAAAAGAAAGATTGTATATTCAAATTTGTCCTTACTATACAAAATGTGCAGAAAGTATTTTTTTATTACTATAATGCTAAGACAAATTTTTGTTTACGCAATTCAAGTTACCTTTGAATAAACTAACCACTTTTCTATCGACTCGAAATAAACTTAATTGTTGTTTTAGGATTCTTCTTTTTGTATTTTCGGACATCGTTGTCGGTCCATTGCATGCGTTTAATTTTTGTGACGTCATTTAACAGTTTCGCTTCTTTTTATTATTTAGGCTTTTGCTGATGATGTGTTAGGTACCACCTGTACCGAAGCTCTGTAACGTATATAATGTAAGTAAAACGTTCATAATATGGCCGTGACTTTGAATGTATAGCTATATATAACTTCTTATTCGTACCCTTCAGAGTTGAAATCTAAGATCCGTGACATCCCAGAAAATTGTTTCCAAAACGTTCGTGGATCGACTGGGAAACCCAAGGACGCAAGCTATGCCCAATGTACTACTAGCATAGTCAATGAGGGAAAGCTGCGTGCATTTAGGGCGATTTTATTAATTTACTCTAGCCATATTATTGTCTCGTATTATTTTAATTCAAAATCTCCTCAGTTGACATTTAAACATTGAGGTCAAACTTATAACAACCGTGGCATAGCGCTGTTATTTTAGATTCGAACGTTATTGGTTACTGTGGAACTAAACATCACAAAAGTTACAAATAAATTTTTTAACGACTTCAAAAAAGGAGGAGGTTCTCAAATTCGACTGTATTTTTTTTGTATGTTACGCGATGACACTGGCATTCGTGAACCGATTATGATGATCCTTTTTATGGAAAGAGAGTACCTCACTGGTGGTCCGTTTTAAATTTGAAGAAAATATTCCACCTCTAAGGTTGGCACCTCTAAGGGGATGAATGACTTTTGAGGTCGGTTTTTCTCGTACTCTGTTTTGAGATTATTTAGGTAAAATTTTCAATATAAAAATAATTATGAAAAAGTGTACAGCTTACATTAGGCTCTATAATATTATACATCCCATGAAATATAGTACTTAGTATATAACCGTCTAGAATACAGTGTTAAAATGTAGCATTTGGTAAGAAATATGTAGACATACATATATCACGCCTGTTTCCCACTGGGGTAAACAGACACTATGAACCTCCATCTGCTACACTCCTCTGGTATATACAGTTACATAATTTCGGTATGAGGGTAACTTCACTATTATAATATTATTTTCCAGTAGGTTTAGTTCTTATGTCTGAAAAAGTTTAATTTTGCAATACTAACAATATTGCTGTCTCCTTTATACTATGTAGAATATTTGTTTAAGCAAGTCCGTGCCGAAGGTAGAGGTGGCGTATTGTTCACTATCCATTCTGTTACACCGACAAGTTCTATTTGTGGGATATTCAGAGCTACGGAGTGAGTCAGCAGGTGGAATTTTTCTTTATAATAACAAAAATAATAAACTAGTGGACTATTTTCACAAAAAATACATATTTACTTCTTAACAAGTGACGGGACGAATAAGTCGTTAGCCTGGTGGTAAGCGACACACCTATCCATGACAGTTGTAGAACCGCTCGGAGCTTTAAATCGCAAAGATCTGAGGGGTACTCCCACTGCGCCCGTCACCCTGAGACATAAGTTGACGAGTCCCATGTGCCTGTAATTTCACCAGTATAGCACCCTTACCCTTCATAACCGGAACGCAGTAATGCTCACATTACTGCTTGGCGGCAGAAATAGGTAAGGAAACTCTACTGAATATAGTTATAGTAAAATATCATTATAGTAAAAAACATTATGATATTCAATAAAAACAAAATATTTATGGGGAAGCGTATATATCAAAATTTTTAGCTTTTAACTAAAATGAAAGGTTTCAATAATAAGAAAAGAGATTTTTGTGAATTTTGGTTTGTCTGAACTTCCATTACCATGTATATCTCTAATCGACTTTACTTCATTATATACCACAAAAATTAGCACCAGCTGAGTCATAGACTGTTGCACTGCTATCGCCCCCTTGCGCTACCTAAGGCATAGACTTCTTTGAACAGTTAAATTAATACAGGTTGAAAAAGGTGCTAGTAATTTAGTCTTGTTAAATTAAAATCAAAAGGACACTTATTTTATATAAATTTACAAATTAAAAACAGTGTATTAGTATATTTTTTTTACTATTATTTCGAAAATGGTTACTAAATATAATCTTATTTACATGTATGTAAAAACTACCATAGGCAAAAATTACCTTAAAATGTTTTTCTTCTTCGCCAAACCCCTTCAAAATCTCATTTGTACGTCGATTGAATTTGCCCCCGTTTCTTTTTCATGTTATAACACCGATTGTTCAGTGTTGCCATAACCGACTGCTTATTTAAATGTGACAGTTGACTTATTTTTTCAGCACGAGCGTGTACAACGATGAAAAGGATGGATCAGATCATAAACACGACCAAAGCAAGTAAGTACTGTAATGTCGATCTTATTAAAAGCCATCAAGACACTGAAAAGAAGTTCATTATTAACCGTTATTGAACAAACGGCAGAATACAAAAGACATAATTACTATTACACCATATTTATTACCAAACTATTCACGTACAAGAGCTGACGTCACCGAAACATTCCTTGCTTTAAATAGTTCTGAGACCATAATTTAGGAAAAAATTGAAAAACAGTCGATGATCCCTACTACCGTGTCAAACCAATGCACTGTAATATCAATAACACCATTGTGAAAAATTACTGCAACAAGGATTGTTCGGTTTTTTGTAATTTTTTAGTTTAATAACACAAAAAATGTATTTCAATTACTTTGTCTATTATACTTTGCAAAATAAGTTTTTTTTCTATGTTAAAAACCAATACATTTGTTTTGCATTGATAATTGCTTAAATATTCTTGTTGTAAAGAAATTACAAAACACTATACTAGTATAGATTACAGTTTTTTGGTTTGACACGCTAGTCTAGCGGTATAACCCAGAACATTCAAATTTTATATTCAAGCAATTATAACACTTCAATGGTAGGGGACTCGGAAGCAACTACGGGGCGTTGATGTGTCCGGGGGCGCTAACGCATTAAAAAAAAAAAACTTAATTATGTATATAAACTACACTACATATTTTTTTCCTTGTGATTTTTTTGTGTTAAGTTAATATAAAAAAATACGTGTTTTCGATTATTTTTTTTGGGCTTAAGTCTAATCTTGCTTAAGTGGGCGGTGAGGCTAAAAGTTTGGGAACCTATGCTCTAAGATATTTTTTTAGGATATCAAGTGACGGGACGAACAAACAGCCTGGTGGTAAGCGACAGTGGCAGTGCCACTTAGAATTTTAAATCGCAAAGATGTGAGTGGCTTTGCCACTGCACCCGTCACCCTGAGACATAAGTTGACAAGTCCCATGTGCCTGTAATTTCACCAGCACCCATAGCTCTTCAAAACTGGAACGCAATAACATTTATATTGTCAATGTTGATTGTTGCGAGGTCAATGTAAGGACTTCTAATTTATCCATTGAGTTGTACAAACCTCTAATGCTCAAATTTTCTTCATCGTATAAGCATTTCAGAATCAACCGAATTTGCATTTTAGTCGAATAGATTCGGTCAGTGGCATAATAATAATAATTGGGGCCAAATTTTGTAGACAAATTTCTACATAGGCTTCTCAAATTACTTATGAAAATTTACAATAAGAGTTTTAAACATTTACATAATTTTTTAGTGCATCAGACGACGCAGGCGTGACAGAATGGCCGGAGGTATACCTGACTCCTGAACAGCTAGGCGAGGAAGCCAAGATACTCGGTCTGGGGGCTTCAGAACCTGACACGTGGGCCGCTGGAGCTCCGAAGGGTCTTGCCAAGTAAGCAAAATTTTATACTTAGTATGTGGAACGAAAACCTTTGGTAGAAAACTAACTTGTGTTTCTAAAACCTTTGGTAGAATACTAACTTGTGTTTCTATCGTAATTTTTTATGAACATAAGAAACATTACGCACTTTTAGAAATGTGTATATCGCGATATACGAGTAATTGTAACATAAGCTAACCAATAGAATTGTTTTATTTTTCTTGTATGTAAAGAATCACAAATTTTTTGTAGCACATTAAAAATATCTGGTTTTGATTTCGAGTAGTACCGATATGGAAACATTTTAATTTGGGCGTAACTGTTTTATGTTTTGTATATGTATGAATAAAGTTGAGTGATAGAGTGAATAATACAATAATACGTAGAAAATGTGACTTGAAAGAGGTAGAAGAGTAGTGACTAGAATAGTAAAAGGAATATTGAGGTGGTTTGGGCATGTAGAGCGGATGGATGTAAGATGAACATCGGGTATTTAACCAGAAATAGAGAGGAAATAAGCGCCATCCAACCCTAGCAACTCATCAGGTAAATTGGACCTTATATCACTTTTAAATATCAACTCTCGTTTGCGCTGACATAACAAATTAGAAAACTGAAACAGTACATCGCCAACAACTGACCTGTGTGTACGTTTCGGTATATTTCAAAATATTCTGTATTTATTGTAATAAAGATAATACCCTAACAATGGCGGCTTATCCATTCGGTGGTGTGGGAAAAACAGCAAAACATCTAATTACAAAACAAACGAAATCACATTTCATCGGTAATTAAATATTAGATATGTAATTTTGCAATTTACGTCCATCATAGCAAAGCTCAAGTCAGACTCGTCGTTTTGAAGTGAAACAATTGACGACACCCGTCAATCGTTTTGAATTCGGGCTGGCCAAACAGAGCGCAATTGTCACCGTAATGATTTGGCAGAATAGTTTCCAGACAAATTAAATGACATTTCGTCTCTATTTCTCGATGAAGAAGAATTACCAAACGGATTTATCATGCGAATGTGGATGCAAGGGTTTAAGAAGACGTCACAGAGGGACTTACATTGACCAGATCAGTGATGTCCTCAAAAAAGCTGGAGTCCCAAGTGACAAGAATAAAAGAAATGGTATAAAAAGAGTAGTTGATGTATGTGAGGCTCGAAAGTTGTGTCAGGATAGAGTAAGATAGCGTTCCATGGTCTCTGCCTAACCCTCCAAGGGCGTGTGCTTATATGTATGTATGTTTTATTTATACATAATATTTAGTTATAAATTTATAAAGGAGTATATATATGTGTGTTTGTACATATATATTGCTTATATATCGTCCAAGAATTCCTCACGATGTTTTCCTTCGGCGTAAAACTCATTACTGTACATTTTTTAATTTTCAGACACCTTGGAGATAGAGAAACAAAACGCCAAGAGCACATATACGAGCTCATATTGACTGAGAAACACCATTGTCTTACAATAAGGCTCATGCAAAAGGTATGTTTAGGACGTTATCAAATTAGCAAATGTTGGAAAGAATATAAACCGAACAGTTGAAATAGTTAGTTCGTCACACGATGGCACTAATATAAACCTTTTTATATTGATCGTTTTAACCTAGGATGGCACCGTTGAGGTGTTAGAGTCAAAATAAATCTCAAGTTACCAATTCAATCTGTGTCTTTTTACTCATAATCTATCAGTAAACAAACAATCGATAATTTTAAAAGACGACCAAGGTATCCGAAATAGTTCAGCCGTAACAGCGTGATTGAAATGTAGAAGTTTTTTTTTAATAATACTAAGTGACGGGACGAACAAGTCGTGTGCCTGGTGGAAAGCGACACGCCTGTCCCTAACAGTTGCAGATGTTTAAATTACACCCTGAGACATAATTTGACAAATTCCATGTGGCTATTTCACCAGCACCCTTTATACCCTTCGAAACCGGAACGCAATAAATTTTACATTACTGCTAGTGGCAGAAATAGGTAAGGTGTGTACTTCTATGGACGAACTCTTTCACAAGCTCTAATGCTACTAAAAGTATTGTGCAATATATAATACATAGTTATGGTATAGTACATATTTTGTAGTTGAGTTATATTTACCCCAGCCGGTTAAGAGCTTAAGGTAAATTTAAAGATTTTTCAAGTGACATTGACTTTCAACCTTTCTGCTCAGTGTTGCTGTTTCAGCTACTTTATCAGCTAAATGGCAACACTAAACATTTTACAACAAATTAGGAGAAACTGTGATTTAAATGGCAATACTGAGTCGGAAATACGGAATATGTTTCAACCAGCTCTTATACAGTTCAGCATTTAGGTTTGACTGCACACTAACAACTTACTTGAATTCCAAAGCAGTGATTGTCCTGCCCAGCAGTAAATAGTTCCAACGTTATGACCATGCATCTCATATACGACCCACGGCTCAGGTCCCCTCTAAATCGGAAGAAAGATAATATATTTTCGTAGCAGTAGAGTTCCTTGTGAAAGAGTTTATCCAGGGTAGTACTATCAGCTTACCTATTTCTGTCGCCAAGCCTGTGTTCCGGTTTTGAAGGATAATAAGGGTGCTGGTGAAATTGGGTGATTTATCTGTCTGGATTTTATTAAGTGTTTTCTTGAAGTAAAACAAAAGAAGAAAAACAATCTAATGAGGTTGATATGTTCAATGACGATCAAAGCCCTTATATAAACAAAAAGTATAAAAAAAAATTATCACACTTTTGTTTCTATAAATAATCTCAGAAATAATATTTCTATTAAATATCGCTCTGCCGAAATAATAATTTAAAGATAGGGTCAAAAACTTGTTTTGCCTTTCTTCAAGTATACACTACTACCTCACCTTGATTTCATCCAACGTAGGGCTGTCGTATTGCCGATGATCCTAAACTCGTAGACGGTATGGAGCCCCTTAGCCTACGGAGAGACGTTGGTTCTCTGTGTGTGTTCTACCGTCTTTATAATGGGGAGTGCTGTGAAGAACTTTTCGAACTGATGCCACCGTCTCGTTTCCAGTATCGCACCTCCCGCCAAAGGAGTAGAGTCCATCACCACATCTTAGATGCCTGGTTCTTGATGCTTCGTTCCTTCCTCGCACCTACAAGATGTAGAATGAATGAAATTTTCCCCTTGAAGTATTTCCTTTGCGCTGTGACATGGGGTTCTTCAAAAAGCGTGTTTACAGAGCTCTCAAAGACTGTCTACGTATAGGCAGTTCATCTGATGTTGCAAATGTCCATGGTCGACGATGATCACCTCCCATGAAGTGGCTCGTCTGCTCGTTTGCCTCCTTCTTTACATAAAAATAAAAGTTCACCTTGGCGATGAATAAAAATACGTGTTTTTGTAACTGATCTTGAAGGATCCGGCTCAGTCATTTTCTCAAACAAAAATTAAATTGCGTTGCGACTTGAGTAAGCGATCGGTTAGCTTACAATCATTAAGGACAGCACTACACTGCGGGCGTATGAGGTGCTCTCAGTATTTACTTCAGACCCCGACTGCATTTAACTCGGGCGCTTGCTATGTCAACCGTATGTTGGTTCACCATTCTTATTTCTCCTTACAGATGTTCGTGGAAGGCATGTTGCGCTTTGCGGGTGTATCTGCCGCTCAAGTCTCGCGAATGTTCCCCCGAATAGACGAACTGTGGACCCTCCACGCGTCTCTGTTGACCAAATTGCGGAATCGCCAAAGGGCCTCACCCCAGGTCGCGTCTGTAGCTGATATATTGGCTGATACTTTTGCGCCGCCTGCTATGAATAAGCTTAAGGCTGCTTACGGTGAGTTTTTATAGAATACGAGATTATGTATCGGAGTTTCACGCTTCAATCTTAAGACTCATAAAAATTCATCATCATCGTTCGACGCCTTCGACTAAGCAAGAAATTATAAACAAAAGGAAGAAAATACATTTATTTGACTACCACAAATGACACGAATGATTACGAAGTAAACTCAAAGTGTAATTTAATTTCTTGCTTGAACTTAGACAATATTCGTTTTGTAAACACGAAAAAGTACATTAGCTCGCCGTTTTTGCTTAGTTAAATTTAAAATTAGTTTTATAAATCTCATCCTAAATATACCGGTTGTGTTAAGCAATGTTTGTCCTAATTGACCGACAGGCGAGTTCTGCTCGCGGCACCGCGACGCCGTGGAGGTGTTCAAGGAGTGCTGTACCCGTGAGCCGCGCCTGGCGCGCTTCATCCGCAAGTGCCAGCAGAACCCGTTGCTGCGCAAGAAGGTACCCCTTCCTCCTCATATTTTGACAGACTATAACGTGCTCTACGTGTACAGGGTAACCATAAATTAAGGCTATCAGCGCAAAAGTGGTGTAAAGAAATAGAGAGCGCGCTGCCTGCGTGGCGGGCTTAAATACAGCTGTCCTCTCCTTTCCCTCCATCGAGTGGCTTGATGTTGCAGGTCACGCTCACTAGACTGGGATTTTCTCATATTTGGATGCTATTTTCATGTAAAAAATAATTATTATTATATATTGATCATATTATGATTACTATGATATAAAAGTAAATAAAAAAGTCTATAATGCTTTTCATGGGGTTACACCACTTTTGCGCCGATAGCCTCAATTTACAATGATTGTTTTCACTGACGCTTCACAGTTTAATATGGCACATTGTACAGTGCCCCTAGTGATCACAAGAAGTAACATTTTAAAAATTAATTTAAAAATATTTTGCGCGGTCCGTAACAGCAATTAGCGTCGTAAAGTAATGGTGAAACGCTAGCAAGAAAAGTTGGTCCGTAGTCTTGATATACTAAAGCCATATGTGATTGTATGTTAAAAATGATTTTATCACATAAACGTCATGGAAATAACAAGGAATTTAACAAATTGTGAAATTTTGCAATTGTCTATTTAAGCACAAAAAGGTTATCGGCTAATTTCATTGGTGGAATCTTTAACCTCTCTCCTGAAAAGTTGTAATTTTTCAGTAGCCTTATTACACTACGAGTGCGTATTCTTTCGAAATCAAATAGATCTTATTCTCCTAAAGTTAGCATCTTTATTCCCTTTTGTAAATAAAATTTTGTTAAATATATTTCTTTCCAGGGCGTACCTGAATGCGTACTGTTCGTAGCTCAGAGGCTCACGAAGTACCCTCTACTATTAGAGCCACTCCTCAAAACAGCAGGCGACGACATGGCTGAAAGGGAGTTGCTGCAGAGAGCGCTATGCGGCGTCAAGGTAAGCACAGTGTACAACTTGGAACCGACTTCAAAACAAAAGGAAAGTTTCTTAATTCGACTAGATACAATACAACGTATGTTACATTATTAATTAACTGTCTCCGTGGCAGAACGATTACCATACTGGTTTGCCACGCGGAGGTCCCGGGTTCGATTCCCGGACCGGGAGTTGTATGGCCTACATTTATTTCTCTCGTGAGTTTGGGTGTAACTTGTGGTGTTCTATGTGTGTATCCATTCTATGAGTGTGCGTTGTTGTTAATTCAGATCTCATCTTAGTAATAAAAAAATCTGCCTTTAGATGGTATCGAATTGGAGATAGATGGGGAGCACGATTCTTACTTTTAGTACCAGTTACATATTTCTACCGCCAAGCACTAATGTGAGCATTACTGCGATCAGGTTTTGAAGAGCAGAGTGCTGGCAAAATTACTAGCACATAGGCCTTGTCTACTTATGTCTCAGGGTAACGGGCGCAGTGGCAGTACCCTTCAGATATATGTGATTTAAAGCTCTGAGTGGCACTGCAATTGTCATAAATAGACGTTTCGCTTACCACCAGGCGCACGACTTGTTCTTGCTAACTAATATCATTAAAAAAATGTTAATGTGATTAATTTTATTTTTATTTCCTAATTCAATAAATATTGACAGGAAATCCTTGTAGACGTCGACAACCAAGTAGCAGCAAAAGAACGCGAGGATAGGAAACTGGAGATTTACCACAGAATCGACGCGAAGTCATTCGCATTATTCCGTGGACGCAAGTTTAAGAAGAGCGACATCTTGCAAGGGAACAGGAGTTTGAAGTAAGTCTGTTTGTTATATTTAGGACATTTAAAATGTCATAAGATTGTATAACTAACTGCACAGCTCACAATTGGGTGATATGCATACAATTAGGCCTTTATGGCTTTTTATTTTTAATTAATTATCTATATAAAAAAAACATAAATGTAATTTTGAATTTCATTAACTTCAATAATGTATTTATTACTTAATATTTTTAAGTGTTTACATGTAATTCGCTGTGCATTAAATTTAACACCACAAATCAGTATACCTTGTAAATAAGTCACAATGTAATAGTGTTGGTAAACCAAATATATCAATAATCATAAAAAAAATAGATCGTTCTAAATGCTGGTGAACTCTGTGCGGTAGCAAAAGAAAGCGCCCACTACCAAAATTGTTTTTGTGAATGACAGCACTCAGTAGGTGTTGCTAGAAATATAGATCTAAAAAATGTTAGACAGCACAACAAAAGTTAAAGATTGTTTTTGGTAATGTTATTATGTTTTACACAAAGTCACGGAACAAAAATTGTTGATTATGATGTTAGTAATATAGTCCTGAGATTAATTTTGTGAACATCTTGAAGTTATGGAAATTAAAAAAATACACCCCCTCTCACTAATATAGTATACACTTGACTGTGACTGTAGATTGTCTGTCTCACTCTCACACGTGTTGTCGTAGATTCGAGGGCGTGGCCATACTCATGCAGGGTCGCAGCAAGATGCAGACGTTGCTCGTGATCGTCCTCACTGACGTACTCTTCTTTCTTCACGATAACAACAATAAGTATACTTTCTTCACACCTGACAATAAGGTTGGTATTGCACTACACTTCCTTTGTTTATTCTGCACTGGTTTCATGTATTTACCACTACAATAATTTGCAAGTTTGTCGTTTATAAATTCAAGGAACAATACGATAATATGTAACACATTTACAATTAGACTATCTATGTAGATTCTATATAGACTCTAAATAAAAAGCAAACAATTACTCCAAAATGATACGTACTATTTGACCAAACGCTAGGACATGTCACATAACCTAAAATATTATGAAATGTGACACTACATACTTATACATATGTTCATATCGGGTTAGGGATGTACGTCATGTTACGAGGAGTAGTATTTTCTTCCATGAAAAGTAATAAAGAAATCAATACGAGGAAAAAAGTAAACTTGATATTATTTTCAATAGTTTCACATACTTACAAATTTGTTTAAGGGAAAGTATATACGTTTCTATAATAAAATTACTTCTAGTATTAAAATTTTGCCATTTATAGTGTTTAAAACTATCGTGTACCAAAAATATACAAAAGGTTATTGTACTGCTTCTGCATTTTGGATGACAAATGGGAGCGATCCGTTTAGTTCTTTCAAGTTGTTTCTACATTTATTACCAAATTGTAAGATATGGATAATGTTGTATAATAGTGGTCTATCTTAAAAGCATCTAATTCATCAGGAAGAAAGCTGAGATGCATCTGCGTCTAAAGTTGACGAACCGTAAACCATCCCAATGGTGACATGTGATGGTTCTAATCAATGAAAAGCTTATAATCATAATCACAATAAAATATAAACATAAAATATATTATTATAACTAAAAAAACCTTTTTTGAATAAATCGTAGTAATAAGTCAAAAAAGGATCAATTTTGGGTTGAGCTTGTTGAAAAGCAGCGTTATGTCTATTCGATGATAATGATGATTGAATATGACTACTACGAATGTTTTAAAAATTTGAAGATTTTAAGTATAATTTGCTTTCCTATATAATATTTTGATTTTGCTTGGCAACAGATGATGCCGTAGTGAACTTTGTTCATATTGGTGGATGGATAGATCGCTTGATATTTTTTCTAGCGAATAATATTCCATAACCTACAAATGCATTCGAACTCCCTCTTCCAGACCGGCGTGGTTTCCTTGGTGAAATTACTAGTTCGCGAGAAGGCCGGCGCAGAAGGCCGCGGACTCTACTTGATCTGCAGTGGGCCTTCCGAACCTGAGATGTTCGAGCTGCGAGTGCATCGGCCCAAAGACATCCATGTATGGATTCAGGCCATCAGGTAATAATAATAATATAATCTATTATTTAATATAATTTTACTTATTTATATTTAACTTAGACAATGAAACTATTTTTTTGTTGTGTTTTCAAATAAAGGGTTTGTTTGTTTCCTATGTGTAACAATCGCGAAAACCTAAGAACTCGATATATATTTAACTTAATTTACTCATAGATAAGCTAATGTACCAATCATATGCGAATATAAAAAAAAATTAAGCTTATGGTATTGGTAAAAAGTCAACTAGTAAAAACTAACATGATTTTATGAATTAAATAAATAAATATTAAGACAATATTACATAGGTTGCTCTAATGCAAAAGCAAGTAACTAAAGCACTTGTGTTATGGAAATCGGAAACAACGGCGATACCACAAACATCCAGACCCGAGATAATATTGAAAAGTTAGTTTTCTACGTATCGAACCCGGGACCTCTGAAATGGCGACACTATGAAAATCGGTGTGCAAGCCACTCGGCCACTGAGGTCGTCAGAATTTCCATTTCCCCATGAAATATTTAAAAGTGGCAACATCTACATTTGCAATATTCTGACTATTAACTCGCACCCTTGGTGTAATAAGACCACATCTGCAAAATGATAATGTCTACGTAAGAGAGGTTGAAAGATTGAAGTAACGAAATTAGCCGATCACGTTTTTTGCTTAAGGCGACTCACCGAAGGAAAAGCGAGAAAAACTGTTTGGCTGTATCAAATGGTTTAGGTGTTAACGGCCTTACAAAAATATGCGATACACCTAATGATATTGTCTAAAGAATATGCATATTCGTTACACGATACAATGTACTTCACCCGATCATATCAAATCCCGAAAACAGGCTAAAATAAATAAAAATATCTAACGTTTGGTTTTCAACTGAAACCCTATACACCAAAGACAACAAGGGTGCTGTTGGTAGAGTAGTTGCATAGTGGCGCCATCAAAAAGCGTCTTTTTCAAGTTAGACCCGGTTCCAAATTGACATGAGACAAATCCAACATATGATCTACTCAGGGCGGCGGTGCAGGAGTGTCCCGAGGAGGTGGAGGAGTCGGAGGCCGGCGCGCAGGCCACGTCCGCCGAGGAGCGGCAGCGCCAGCTCGAGGCTAGGCATGAGAATATAAGACTGATTACTGGTGAGCTTTTACTCCTTGTATTAGTTTTGTAACAGTGGAGCTCCTTGTGAAAGAGTTCGTCCAGGGAAGTACTGCCACCTTACCTATTTCTGTCACCAGCCAGTAATGTAAGCATTACTGCGTTTCGGTTTTGAAGGGTAGGGGTGCTGGTGAAATTACTGGCACATGGGACTTTTCAACTTATGTCTCAAGGTGACGGGCACAGTCGCAGTCAGATCTTTGAGATATAAAACTCTGAGCGATACTGCAACTGTTACGGACAGGCGTGTCGCTCACCACTGCGCACGACTTGTTCATCCCCTCACTTGGTAGCGTAAAAAAATAGAGGGCAGGCACTTCTCTTTAAAAGCAAACGTGCAATTTACTACCGAAGATTGTAAATATTGATTGGATATATTATTGTAGTGACAATCGCTTTCCTATGTATATAATTAATTTAAAATACTACCAGCGCCATCTGTTGATGGAATGTTTAATCATGAGACTATTGGTTTGACTGTGAACCATATACCAACCATATATATGTATACCTAAAACTAGTAAAATCATTCAAATCATTAGTATCATTGCTATTTACTAATATTTCATTTGTCAAAATCTTATAGTTCATTTTAAAAGCCTTACGCAGCTTAAACTTTTCTCTTCGCGTAATAATATTGTGGAATACCAATGTATTATTAAAAAACCATACTTTTAATGTAACCTATAGCTCAGATTAAAGTTGCTAATAGATTGACTGCAGTTTGCGGTTAATGCGTGGAGTCGTAATCAACTTCATGAAGGCGAGACCTCGACTGCATGAAGTTGATACACATAAATAGTTGAATAAACATAAATACTTAATACTACTGTCATAGGGGTAGTTTTACTTTAAACATTACAAACTTCGCAACTTTAACAAATTGTTTTATTATCTAACAGATGAAACTCCTTGGTGGCATATTGAAGGTGACCCACGCATAGAACATTACAATTAGACTAGCTTCTGCATGACAGCATGAATTACGATTTTTATCTTTAATATCTAAAACTTTAATATCAAATTGGAATGTCAAACTGTAGGGGACATTTATTTTGTTGTGCGAATAAATTGATAGAGTACTTTGTTTTCATTAATTATAATTAAAAAAATATGTTTGATGTTAAATCTGTTGTGCACTGTTGTAAAACTAATATGGTATGTCTTAAATTAGTTTTATTCCTTACAAACAAATTTCAAAGTAGAATTTTAGTTTAGTAAATTCTATAGAGTAAACCTCATTATCCACCAAAATGGCCGTAGAAGAGTTACATTACTGGTTAGTAGCAGTAGAGCTACTTTGAAAGAGTTCGTCCAGTGTGGTACTGCCACCTTACTTCTTTCTGCCGACAAGCAATAACGTGTTTCGGTTTAGAAGGGTGCTGGTGAAATTGCAGGCACATGGAACTTGTCAACATAATACGTCTCGGGGTGACGTGCGGTGTCGGTGCCACTCAGATCTTTGCAATTTAAAGCTAAACGCTAAACGGACAGACGTAATGCTTACCAACAGACGCACGATGTGTTTATCCCCTCACTTGGTATTTAAAAAAATACAACAAGAAATCTTGTTTCGTCATTTGTTAAGCGGTTTAAAGATGTCCAAATAAGGGAATATTCTCTCTATCCAATTAATGTAGCTAAGCTTCTTAGCGAACTCTCGTGCATTTAGGGCACTTGAGTACACCGCTTACGTAATTTATAGTTAATGGCGGAGGGTGGACAGGCCTTTAGGATCAACTGTACATTACCATCGCACGAGTTGAGATTTGAAATTAATATGGTGAATAGATTACATAGTTAGCAGTCTAATCCTAAAATATTAGCTTTAGGAAACTCGTAGTTTTGATAATAAAAATTATTGAAACCCTCCCCTCCCCCTTCTGCAAATCCTCCCCTCCCCCTTCTGTAAATCCTCCCCCGATGGTATTGTACAGTCCTTCCGGCCTTTATTTTGTTACGTTTAACACAACTCTTGTAGATAATGGGATTTATTCAGGAATTTTAATTTACTGTATAGTTTCGTAGAAAAAAACCACATACTCTACAAGTATTAATAAACTCTAATCAAGTTTGCCTAATTTGTTTGAGATTTCAGATTAGTAAAGTAAAAGTACAGTATAGTGTGTGTGCTTTTAATCGATGTTTTTTCAAATTTTTCATCCTTTTGTTTTTTTATAGATTTTCTTTCGTATATTTAAAATTTCTTATTTCAATATCTGTGTTCTTATTATTATGTACAGAAGCACTAAGGGCGAAAGACAGGGAGCTCGCGACTATATTGGAAGAGAAAATGGCTCTACACATGAAAATGGTCGGACACACTGGGACCTCCACACTCGATGTACCTAGTGCAGGTATGTTTCAGAACATTTTTCTGGTATTTTAGCCTAATTAAAAAAAATCATTGAAAGGTGTCGCTCACCATACATATATTTCTGTAGGTGAGAGGTAAAGAATTTTTACGTGTCGAGTAGTAATTTTTACTACAAAGCGTTTTAAAGAGAATGAGGCTTTTAATTAGATATTTAAAATTAATCTTAGTCAAGGTCAAATAAAATATGTTAAATAAAAAACGACGATGGGACTTAATGTCTTCTACCATTTCGTAATTTTTAGCATTTTAAAGCAATGTTTGTAAAAATGTCCAAATTCCAGGTATAAATACTGTGTTCTCGGGCGGACTCGTGTTCCCGGACTACGTGAGACTGGCTGCTCCCTCCCCGGACACTCATACGCTGTGGCAAGAAGTCTGCCGTGTCGTAAAGGTAAGTCGTGCGTATTATGACCTTTTTGTGATCCAGTCAGTAACTTCCTTAATTACTCCACCTTTTCACCTAGACGCGTTTGCGGGTCTGAGTGAGACTAAGTACTAGAGTACAAATCTCATAAAGTACATTTGTACTGTGTATCAAAATAATACCAAGAGAAGTTGGTCAAGTTCAAAATTTGTTCACTACGGACCCGACGTAAAATACAGGATATTGTAGTCTTACATGGGTTCATACACGTATACACACGATATATACACGGTAGCCTTGTCTCCCCTGGTCTGCGATCCCACATTAACTTTAACGTTAAACCAAATCTTCGTCCTAAAACCCTTGTGTTAAATGTTTATAGAAATAATACACATACATTATATTAAATATACATCCTTTTATAACCCCGTGACTAGAATGTGCCGAACGTGTCACATTGATGTTTTCGACAACAATCTTTGTCGAATCGAAGATTGGTACGAACTAACTCTTCAAATATTTCAACTCGTCTTCTCATTAGTGCTGCCAAATTAATATCTATGTTAGCCTTTAGTTGTAAGCCACTTTTTCTCACTTTTTCCTTTTTTTTTGTAATCTTTATAGAAATATGTTTACACTTCGCATAATAATATGTACAAGTATTAGGTCTACATTCTAGATTAGGTACTATACATTGTATCTCAACATGTTCCACTGAATATACACTCTTTTGTACATCTAATAAAATAAAAAATAAAAAATATTATTTTTATATATTTTTTGGTTTGTTTCGAAAAAAGTGTTCAGTGACACTAACGCGTTATGAGAACCATTGTAACACGAGTATTTTGTTTTGTTTTTATGGTATGTGACAACGTAAATGTACCATACTCGGCGTGGACGTCGCCGTTGTAATGGAATGGTAGGGATGATTCAAATGAAACAGGTTCGGCAATTTATTGCATAAGCGTAATCAATATTTATTCGATAGTCGATAGAATATTTGTCAACAGCGGGTAACACTTTTACTCAATAAACTATCATTTTACTCCATCTTAAAAAAGACAAACTATAGATACAACGTTTTGTACAACACGCTTCGCTCGGAAATTTGTACTTTGTAATATAATTTTGTACACCAATAGCAATCCATTTCAAAATATGCAATTATAAATTTCTTCAAGGATGCCCTGGAAGCATCGAGTGGTACTTGGGTAAGCGGTGGTTCACTCGGCCGTAGTACAAGTTCGGCTGGTGAACGGCATTCGTCGACGTATGAAAGCCCGGCCTTACCACGACGAGCTGATACCTTCGCCGGCTTTGACGCCAACAAACATAGAGGTTAGTATTTGTTTAAAAGTGTGTTGAAGTTGCAAATGAAACTATTTTTTCGGATCTTTTAGCAGTAGCAGTGGTGCTCCTTGTGAAAGAGTTCGTCCAGGGAAGTACTGCCACCTTACCTATTAATGCCGCTAAGCAGTAATGACAGTATTACTGTGTTCCGGTTTTGAAGGGTAAGGGTGCTGGTGAAATTACAGGCGCGTGGCACTTGTCAACTTATGTCCCAGGGAGACGAGTGGCAGTGCCCCTAAGATCTTTGCGATTAAAAGCTCTTAGTGGCACTGCAGTTGTTATGGACAGGCGTGTAGTTTACCATCAAGTACACGACTTATTCGTCCCGTTACTTGAGATTATAAAAAAAAAAATCTGTAAAGGGCCGGAAACGTTGGTTTGTTTAAAAAAAAAACAAATAAAAGCGATTTAGATGCGAAAAAATAGTTTCATTTCCAATGTGTAACAATCGAAAAACCTTAGGACTTGAAATGTGTTGCAAATAAATTTGACCAAACGGGAATTTCCCATCCCTCGCTCCAGTGCAGCAGGCAGCATGCAGCAGGCAGCATGTGCTGCCTGCTAAGCTACACATGGACGGATCTCGTTCCGTTGCACTGGAGGCGATATTTAAATAAAAGTGTATAGCTTGATGTATATAATAATTTTATATTTGAATGCCATTTTCATGTATACAAAATAGTATTTATTTATTTGTTTTTATGAAATGACTAAAGTATAATATCATTTAAAGTAATATTGTAGAAAAAAATTAATGTGGGTTACACCCCTTTTGCGCTGATAGCCTCATTTGAATTTTTTAAGTTTGTTTCGTTGTATTTTTTTTTTTGTTAATTTGTAATAAATGTTTTCTATTTTATTCTATTGTAGGAGTGATCCCGCGCATGTCGACGGACACGCCCCCGGAGGGCGGTCCGAGCGAATCGCAGGCCGCTTCTGAGCTGGAGCGAGACCGCGCCCTGGCGTTAGCCGGCGACGCCGCCCTCCGCCTGCATCACTCCATCTATACGCTCACATGCATCGTGTGGCAGCAGCTCACTACCATTCACAGGTATTGTCAAAATCGGTTCACAAAAGCCGGAGTAATCGCGTCGTAAATACAGTCGAATTGAAGTTCATTATCGCATGATTCGCGACAATAAATTACACAAGGGACATGGAGAGCGAGACTTATTCATAAAATTCGCTAGTAACTTCGACATGTCCGTGCTCTGCAGAAACAGTATACCGAAAAAGATACTGTATTCTGTTTATTGTTATTAATAGTCACCTGTTGTACGTCCAACTGCTGGGAAGGGTTCTCCTTTAACGAGAGGGTTTGGTGTAGTGCGAGTTCTCTAACTCGCAAGTTTTTTAGAGTGAATATTCTTCGACGCGCAGGTGCAAGAGGAACAACCGTTCTCCCACTAGGCTACTATAGCTGCGTTTCATTCGTACCTGCTATTGATTATTAAGGCCCCCATATCTACAGACAATTCCTCGTTTCGATCGATCGTTTCGATAATCTTGTCGACCTGTCGCTACTCTTTTGTAAGTTAATCTTTTTTAAGTTAATCGTTAACAACCCAAACATACGCTATCGATTCGTCGTTTCGTGAAATCTAATAGTCTATGTGTAAGTGTAAATATGAGGGCCTTTAGAGCACCTTCAATTAGACGTTTAAAGAAGCGTTGCAGCGGCACTATTAATTTTCATAGAATATTTAGAAATGCAGTCGCATCGGCCACTTTTGCAGTCACAATTACAGTATCGGTACGCTATGATGGCGATTTTGACAGATTACAACAGTGAGGTCAAATCTCAATTCATTATCGAAAATAATATAATTAAATGCGAGACACATCTATAAGTTTTTAGATTTATAACTAGTATTGCAAGAGGTAACTGATTAAAAAATTTTAATAAAACGAAAAAAAAAAATGTTTACGTCATTTTCAAACTGCTTTGTTTCGCATTGAGCTTTGACGCGAGTTTGCCGGAGATAGAAGTTGTGCTGGCCAGCGATTCCATAAGTGACGAGCGTATTAGATTTCATTTTTAAAAATTTCGAATGACAAATGCCACTTCACTATTGACAACGATGTACAACAATTACCTCGTTCGACGTTATGAATTAATACGAAACTGGACGAGCGGACAAACGTCACAACGGCCATCGTAGCGTGCCGATACTATAGCGAAGTAAAAGTGACTGCAGCGCTTGTACAAGCGCCTGATCCGAGGCGTCCTTCTCAAGTGGAACTCGTCCGCAGCCTGGAGGCGCAGGTGGGCGCGTGGCGCGCGGGCGGCGGCAGCGGCGCGCGCGCGCACGACGCGCAGCTGGAGGAGCTGCGCCACGCGCAGGCGCGCCTCACGCAGGAGCGGGCCGCCTGGGAGGCGCAGCGGGCCAGCGACTCGCTCGCGCTGGCGCACGGTACTGCCCCGCTGTAACGTCGCCCGATCGGAACCAATTTAGAAACTATACAATTTGACCTGTGGCCCTGTTCAAGAGTCCCGAGAAAGAATGATCAGTCCCTTGAGGAGAATTTCACGGAGAAAAAATGTTTGTGAAAAAGACACGCACAGTTGGTGCCTTGAAATAAAGTCAACGCTGTAAACGTGTGTCACTATATGAAAAACAAAACAAAACATTTATTTATTATGAATCATCTTCTTAAATTTTTGTGCTGTTAAGTCTCGAGCGTTATTTATGCCTGAAAATGATAATTTTTATAACTTTTGCCCTTATTGCACTTTTTCTGATTTAGACTAAATACGCTCTTAAAAAATTATATGGTATTAATTCAAAACATGTTTTAAGCAATTTTGATCATTTTTTTTCCTTGATTTCTTCAGTTGGTAAAAACAATAGTCACGGTGAGGCAACAGACGCTGGTTCTAGTCCAGTCGGGTCGAAGGAAACATTCTTTGTGTTTGCTCGATCTTTGTAACAATTTAGAATGTTAACTTCCCAAATTGATTCTGCCGAGAATCGAACCTGCGTCATTCACATTATTAATCGTTGGACCACCAAGGTCATCGTCGGCCACACAATCGACCGATTTTAAGCTCTCTCTTTCATTAATCCCAGGAAAGACAGAGATCAGAGAATACTGGCTAAATGTATTTCAAAACATTATATTATTGCCGAATATTAACTTCAAAAGCCTTCATTTCAAAGTCAATACAACTTGTCAACCATGAATAATCTTCCAAATTTTTACTGAGAACATTATTCACTAATAATAACAATCGAATTTATTTGACGTACAAAATACATCGATCAGGAAATTTAAGAAAAAATACAAATAATAGTGCTTATGCTGCAGAACGTCAGCAACTGGCCGCGGCGCGTCAAGAACTAGCCGAACAGCAGAAAGACGTAGAGCAGCAAAGAGAGAGGCTATATCGGCGACTCGAACGGTTGCAGCAACACGGTTAGTATTAAAAGAAAAACCCACATCACATTTTAGTACATATTATGTTTTACTACGTTAATTGAACCCACAACTACCGCAGACATTTGCTACAGCGTATACTCTTATAAAACTAAACCACAAATAACATCGCAATTGCATCTTTTTAGTTAAGAAGTTGCTAACGGCTGATACTGTTGTGATCATCTATCTAAGTAACCCTTTCATGGACGGTGTTACGTAGTACATACAAAAATATCAGTACTTTTCTTACTGCAGTGCTTATATTGATTCAATGTAAATGTTCAATGTATATGTATGTAAACCATTAATGAATGTAATGAATTTTGGCAGTACGTAGTTCCACACAAATAAAGCCCGTATAGTCGGTCTTTTTTGCAGATGGAGACAATGACAGTTCATTGCCCGAAAGTGTTGGCCGTTTGTAAGCAGCTAGTGATTAAAATGGATAAATATTCTATCGACCGAAAGTCGGTGACGCTTGTGCAATAAATAGGTGAACTTGTTTCATTTGAATCATTAACGGTCCATTATGTATCCAACTGCTTGGCACATGTTTATTTTAATGGTCACTTTTTTATAAGTTCATTCATACGTGCCCTTAGAACGATGTCTCAAAAATACATATTTTAAAGTTTTTCATTTTAATTCAATGTAGATAATGAAATCCATTACTGAAAACCAGCGCTGTAGCTCAACTTTTCAGTGCAATATACTTTAAGCCAAAAAATATAAAATTTTATGAAAACTGGCAACCCTGCAAATGTCATTTTACTCCGTTTTCGAAAAAGACAGACTGGTTTTTTGAGACCCATATAGAAAACGGGGTATCCCGTACTATCATATTCTTACATTTAATTTTACGTTAAACGCTGTTACTGTCCATGAACGTGTTAACCCTTAGAGCCGCTTAGTCTATAGCTTTATCACCCTTTTTCTGCACGCCATTACGACTCACGCTTCGCTTGATCCACCTGCAGCAGGACAAGCGTGTATACAAGTCGTTTCATAAAAAACTGTAATGACTAGTAATGATGCACTGCAATACTAAACTCACTATCAAACAAACTAAATATCAATGACGTCGCGGCAGAGCGTTAGTGTTTATGCACTGTGGAATTGCAGCGATACGCACGCATTAACTTTTCTCATAATGTACATTAGTATGGACCTATAAAATAAGAGGACTGGTGATGGATATTACATGACTACCGCTCTCCCTCTGCTACACTGACGCGTTTGTGATAGCCTACCATTATTAATAATATTATTATGTACAGGTGGTTCACAAGAAGAAATAGCGAGTGTAGGCACACTATCGCCTGACTCCAGTGTGAGTGACACCACGCGGAGAAAAGAACCTAAATGGCGGAGTAAGTATTTGTAATTTCATGAACTGCTTCAACTTGATAAAGTAATATTTTTAATTTTGCTTACAACGTACACCTTACTCCGACTTTCCGAGGTGTATCCGTGCCGATAAGTGACCACCTTGAGCTACTTGGTCTGGACTTATCATCCAACCTCAACTTTGGGCGATACATCGAGTGCTTGGCAAAAACTGCTGCCAGAAAACTAGGCATACTTTTCAAGGTCAGGCGGTACTTCACACCTGAACAGCTTTTAAATCTGTATAAAGCACAAGTTCGATCCTGTATGGAGTACTGCTGCCACCTTTGGGACGGCTCTGCCCAATACCAGTTAGCTGCCTTGGACTCGGTGGAGCGTAAAGCAAAGAGACTTATTAACAATAATCCTCTTGTGGAGTCGAAGCTCCAAAATCTCGATCATCGCAGAAAAGTAGCCTGCTTGTCGGTTTTCTATCGGATACATTTCGGGGAGTGTGCGCAGGAACTTTTCAATTTGGTTCCGCCCTCAACGTTCCTCCTTCGGTCGACTAGAAGGTCCGGAGCACTCCATTCTTATGTCGTTGATATTCCACCTATTTGCACTAAGCGCTTTGCCTCCTCCTTTCTGATGCGTACGGCAAAGGAATGGAATGCTCTACCGGCATCTGTATTTCCCGAAAAGTACAATTTGGGGCTATTCAAGGCTAGAGTGAATAGGCATTTTTTAGGCAAACGCGTCCCATCGTCGGTCACATCGTCGCTTAACATCAGGTGAGATTGTGGCCAAGCGTGTGTCTATTATATATTAAAAAAAAAAAAACGTTCCGATTTGGATTTTATTGCCATGAAGAATCCCAAACCACTTGAGGCTGTAGTCAAGTGCGAGTAGACATAGCGATCATAACAAAACAACTAGCGTGTCATAGACAACATCTCAAGATATATTTTACTTATTTATTAATTTATTTATTATTAATAGGCGAGCAGCTTGTAGCTGATAGGCCTATATGAATGTGTTGAATTTTTATAAAGTCCACAAATTCACAAATAGTTCTGAGATATATACGACGACGAAATCTATACCGATCTAAAATGTCAAGTATTTCGATTTGCGTGCGTGTCAGCGTAGTAGGCAGATGTGAGGATTGTCGAGTAGTATTAACGTCTCCCGTGTCCCAGACAACCGCGGTTCGACGGGGTCGGAGTCATCGGCGTCGGCATGCAGCGTGCGCAGCGCCGCGCTGCCGCCGCCGCAGCTGCTCTCTGCGCAGAACGAGACGCGCGCCGCCACCGTGCGCGCGCAGCCCATCTCCGTATGTACCAAAGAGTAGCTTATAGTGTAGAGTCATCAGCTCATGTGACTCCTAGTGACTAACGCGGGAAGTATTTTTCCCTATAACATACACATATCTCCAAATTCATGCTTTCTAGTGGATTTCTGGGTTTGTTTTTATTGAAACATATTTAGAAATTAATACACTGCCTTTAAGAAATATTAATCGGGTTCTGAAAATTTATCTCAAAATTGTATGGCAAAGAAAAGAGATGCCAGCTTCATCTATTGATTAACGACGTCCATCTTCTTGGCCATACAAAGCAAAATGTACGTAGTTATTAGACCGTAGTGCCTACCCCATACCACATCAGTGAACTTTCACGTCCTTGGAGTATAAGACAGATAGTGCAACTCTAGTCTGTTCGGCGCATCTATGCATACACGTCGCCTTTAGCGTAGGGTTGTCACATTATTATTGTAGGTTAAACATAATTTGCAAAAAATAAAGTATTAATAACAATATTCTCGTGCTACATTGAAATAACATTTTGCCAAATGCAGTAATTCGATTTTGGGATTCGAGATGGTATTTAGATTATGAGAATGTAATTATGAAATAGAAATTAAATGCATAACAATTCTGAATTAAGGCACTCTTGTTCAAACAATAATAAACACGTCTACTATTCTATAACGAGTGCAACTCGACTGCACCGCGAAATTATGCGAATGTGTGCGTCCGTACACGGCGCGCAGCAAGCGCCACACATACAAGCTGCACTGCTACGTTTCTATGGATTTCCACTACTTGTTTTATTATACTGTGATATGGATTTTTACCCGATAAATATCCGTCAAAGGATAAATATCCAATAAATATCCGTTTATACTGAGTGTTTATACTAAAACATGGATAATTGTTTTTTTGTGTTTTTTATAATAAAATTCATTAGAACTCATTTTTTATAAAATAATTAAGTACGATTACTTCTCATTTTGACATTGTTTTAAGTAACAACACTGTTTTAGTACCTACGTATTTCGAGTCAATAACATCTCACTAACTGCGCGAACATGCTCTTGTAATGTAACGCTCAATTCGGTAGCCTCGTTCACCGGGAGTATTCGCCTGTAATGTAACAATCTGTTCAGATTGTAAGGCTGCGATTCCACCAGATATGGTGGAAATGTTTTCAAGTCTTTACTTAAGTTAGGTGCCTGCGAGTGTCCGCGAGTGTCCGCGAGTGCCCGCGAGTGCTTTTAAGTGCCCTTGGGTGCTTTTGAGTACCTTTGAGTGGAAGGCACTCGCGGGCTCTCAAAGACACGCGTTGGCACTCGCGGGCACTCAAAAGCACTCAAAGGCACTCAAGACATTCGCTGGCACTAAAAAATACTCAAAGCTACATAAGACACTCAAATGCTCTCAAAGGCACTCGTGGGCACTATAAGGCACTCGAAGACACACAAATATATTTATCCATATTTATCTTTCTACTGAGTATTTATCCCAATGATATGTATCCATGACCCATCTCTAAGGACGCTCCTTATGGAATTCCACGTAAATGTTCATTCCGCATCACGCAATAATTAAAATCAAAGCTTGTCTATTGCTTCCACCGAAAATATTTGCTATTGTCTTAAGTAGAAACAAATATTTATTAAAGCACTATTCGTTTAGCAAATGGTGAAACAGCAATTGCCGCTCAAGCTGGCGAGTGGCAAAAGCCAGCAGCAGCCACCGCCGGGGTACCACCGTCTCCATGAGTCGCCTAGTGAGGTATGTTTCATTTTTTAATTTTACGAATTTAAGATTTAGTCCTGGATATCACACATTCAAAACAATACCGTCACTAAATAATTGACGGTATTGATTTCAAAGTGCGACATCGCCGTTAGAAATCCCCTTTTAGGTGAATAATTGAGAAAAATCAGCCTTTTTGTTGAAGTTCTGTACCGCTAGCAGCACAGGGCGCGACTTGCGCGAAAGCAACATGGAACAACAGATACTGGTATTATCGCTTAGAAAATAGCAACATCTTGTGCTTCTATATTGCCATTTCGACGATTTATTGTTTATTACGTAATTATCGCATAGAGAATGGCGATATCTCGCGCTTCTACGTCGCTCTTTTAATTTTTTCAGACGATTTTTGGTATCAACTGAAAGTTATATTGTATAATAGAGACGGGCTAGGCCACAACCTTACCAGACATTGAGCGATGATGTAACCGAGGATGTTTAAAAAATGCATAAGCTTAGAGCAGCAAACTAATTTTCGGGAAACACTGATAGTGATTCCATTTCTTTGCCGACGTATTAGGAAGGAAGAAGCAAAGCGCTTCGTGGGTCAATTACAAGAATGGAATGTTTCATTCTTTTTGGTCGACAAATGAATGCGTAAATGTAAATTTATGATGTGGACATCTCGGTTGTGGAAAGACAATATGGATATTTACTTTTTACAACAATTTTTTTTTATATAATATCAAATGATGGGACGGACAAGCCGTGCGCCTGGTGGTAAACGACACGCCTGTCCATAATAGTTGCAGTGCCACTGAAAGCTTTAACCCGGTGAAGATCTTAGGGGCACTGTCATTGCGCCCGTTGCCCTGTGACATAAGTTGACAAGTCCCATGTCCCTGTAATTTCACCGGCACCCTTACCCTTCCTAACCGGATCGCAGTAATGCTCACATTACGGCTTGGCGGCAGAAATAAGTAAGGTGGCAGTCCATCCCTAGACGAACTCTGTTACAAGGAGCTCTACTGCTACTGCCTTACCCCCAAATCATCGTCTCCTTAGCCTCAAATTTATTAGACAAAAAAAAAACACTCTTACAAAAGCTATAATTTATTTACATGCGGAATTGTCAGAAAGTTCATGCAAATAGAAGAACCCGAAATAGGCTTTCAATACTGCATTTATTTCAGTCCGTCAAATGTAGTAAAAACTAACCAACAGGCTGAGAAAAGAAAATATAATAATAATATTTTTTATGAAATCTATTGATGTTGATTTGAAGGTTGATTTCTGTTAATTGTTCACGTTCATGGGGATTTAGATGTGTCCAAGGGGAACCCTGGTCTGGCGCTGAATTTTAAACAAATGATATAATTTACCGTTAGAGGATAGTAAGCCACTTCCAGAATGTTTTAGACTTCATAAATCTTACAATTTCCTTATAACGGAGCAGATAGGCTCCATTTTCATTACCGGACCTCGAAAAAGTGTTAGAGTAAACATGGATTGTAATCGCAAATCATAGTTTAGATATTCTTAATTATTTTGAAGTGTTTAGAGTACCTTTTAAACGTCGCACCTTACTTGTCAGCAATTAGCACCGCGAACCTAATAAGCGAATGTATTGCGACGCGTTTAGTACGGACGGGGTGCTGTTGCGTACTAACAAGTGGGGCGCAACCCTAAACCTGATTAGTTGCTTTTGGACCCTAAAATGTACTACATAAATATTCGTGTTTATATATCTCAGAGACAAGGTCTAAAATGAAACTTGTCAGCCGGTACGCTACTCAATAGAACGTAGTGAAACAGATAAAATGGTTGACAGCTGATTGATGTTTCAGGATGTCGACTATCCGAACGTTTTTTAGAAGCAATTGTTTACAAATCAATTGTAAGTAACGCGAAAACCTGTAGTTTGTTCGCTTACAGTCAACAACAAAAGTTGAGCGGCCAAGTTTCAAAACTTAATGTACATCAGCTTTTGGATGACTGTATGTTTCGGTTTTTTCCAAATTCGATGTTGTATTGCGGCGAATGTAGCTTTGCAAAATTATCGTTGAAACTCCTCAATGTGGTGCCCATTGGTCTGCAATGATTTACGTATTTGGAATCGAAAAAGTTGATCGTTATTGGCAATTCTGTGCGCGCAAAATTGAATACAGTATGCGGGCAGATAAGATAAAATTGACAATAATACAAGTTTCGATACCGACAAAAAAGGCGCATTGTAAATTCTGTCATCTGTGTATGCAATTTATGTTGAATTTTGCGTGCACTGAAATGCCTTCATTGGTCACAGCTTTCAATTCCTGGTTTTCTACATATTTTTAAATTCATCAAATAAAAGGTTAATTTTAATTAATTGAATTTAGGATGTGAATAAATAATGCAAAAGTATATAAATTATATACCTTTTGTATTGGCTGTCTTATAAATCATAAATAAGAACGGTAGGTGCCAATAGCAGCCGTCTAGTCAAAACAAATACTAGGATCACTGGGCACCTCTCCATTGGCTTTCCTGTCTATTAGTTATTGAAATCTAATGTAAATTGTAACACAACCATTTCGTCTGTTCGGCTTTGTATGTTAGAGCATGATTTTTCGCCGTTGAACATTGCGACGCGGTTTAATGCTCTCATGCTACTGAATAAAACATTGTGAAATAGAAATATTACTTAATCGGCTACTAAAATTCTTTAGAAGTGTAAAAAATGCCGAATACTGACAATACCGCGTTCGCACTCGTGCCCGCATTTGCTCTCGTGTTCGTGTAAACATATGCGACCATGTTCATGCCTGCATACGCGGTCGCATTCGCGCCTGCACTTGCTCTCTCACCGCTTTCTTTTTAGTTTATGATTTCAGTCTTGTGACATTCTCGACAAGACTTGATGCGCCACACCAGTAACATCACAACCGACTAGGCTCAGAATTGTAACGGTTGCATAGAATCACACATATTATTACCAAATAACCATTGACTTACAATTATATGGACGTCGGGTCCTCGCTAAAAAGTGTCCGAACTTATAGGGCGTTAAAATCGTATACAGAGCGTCATTCACGCTCTAGTCTTCGTTTGTTCGACTGACAGCGAAGTAAGCAAAATTAGACAGTACT